TGTGTCTAATTGAAACAAGCCTAGAATACAGCTTATATAGCAATGTTTATAACATGAAACAGGTATTTTTCATATACAACGGCATGGTAAAATGGTTGTGTTATCTAAAAATGACAAAAAAAGATTTGCTTTCTGAAACTTTTAAAAATATTTTCAAGTCAATCTGTGTATAAGGAGGGTCAACCATATTGTTTATCTTGGAGACGGGTTAAACCCTTTTGCCGGCAGGACTGCTGATCGAAAGGTCGGCAGTTCATATCCAGGGAGCGGGGTGAGCTCCCATCTGTCAGCTCCAGTTTCTACTACAGGGACATGAGAGAAGCCTCCCACAGGATGGTAAAACATCTGGGCATCCCCTGAGTAAAGTCCTTGCAGACAGCCAGTTCTCTCACACCAGAAGCAACTTGTAGTTTCTCAAGTCGCTCCTGACACACAAAAAGAAAAAAATCTTGGAGACTATCTCTGCTTGATGATTATGATGTATGATAAAGCTTTGTAAACCTTTTCCACCTACAACCCCTTTCTCACCAAGACATTTTTATATGACCCAGGTATTTAGGTATATAAAATGGGTTCACAAATCAAACATTAACAAGAAATCAGCATTTGCAAGGCTCGCTTAAACAGCAGATGCTCTTTTTTGTTGAGTGCAACTAAATCATTTTCTGCAGAGTAAATACAGCACATTGTTGCTTTGTGTAACTGGGTGGCATTCAGAAACCTTTTAATGTTGCCAACTTTTAAGCCAAGCAGAAATCCATTTGGGGTCGGGATCCTCAGTTTAATAAAAATAATAATAAAATTTATTTCTGCCCTGACACCATCTCCTCAAAGGAACTCAGGGTGGCTCACAAAAGCATTTCAAAGTGCTGCACATAAAACAAGCAATATGTAAGCATATACAACAACACATAAGTCTATATACAACTAACACGTATAAAACCTCATCTAATAAAATCACAAAATCCATAAAATACAGTAAAACCTGTGAATAAGACTGGCTGTCTACCATTAAGAAACTACAGTGCCAGAGTGTGGCCATCGCTAAGTCCTCAAATCTGACTATAAATTACAAAGGATCCAAAGCATGTGTTTCTCAACCTGGGGGTCGGGACCTCTGGGAGGGTCATGAGGGGGTGTCAGAGGGGCCGCCAAAGACCATCAGAAAACACAGTCTTTTCTGTTGGTCTTGGGGTTATGTGTGGGAAGTTTGGCCCAATTCTACCGTTGGATATAGGTGAACTACAACTCCAAAGCTCAAGGTCAATGCCCACCAAACCCTTCCAGTTTTTTCTGTTGGTCATGGGAGTTCTGTGTGCCAAGTTTGGTTCAATTCCATCGTTGGTGGCGTTCAGAATGGTCTTTGATTGTAGATGAACTATAAATCCCAGCAACTCCAACTCCCAAATGGCAAAATCAACCCCCCCCCCCCAAACCCACCAGTATTCAAATTTGAGTGTATTGGGTATTTGTGCCAAATTTGGTCCAGTGAATGAAAATACATCTTGCATATCACATATTTACATTACGATTCATAACAACAGCAAAATTACAGTTGTGAAGTAGCAACAAAAATGTTATAGTTGGGGGTCACCTCAACATGAGGAACTGTATTAAGGGGTCACGGCATTAGGAAGGTTGAGAACCACTGATCTAAGGTCTGTCTAAAAAGCCATGTTTTCAAACTGGCCTGAAAGGCTTGGAGAATGGGGGCTACCCTAATCTCTCTAGGGAGGGTATTCCAGAGCCAGGAAGCCACCACTGAGAAGGCCCTCTCTCTCATCCCCACCAACCGCGCTTGAGACTGTGGTGGGGCAGTGAGAAGGGCCTCCCCAGCAGATCTCAGAGCCCACACTGGTTCATAGGAGGAGACGTGGTCTCAAAGATAGGCTGGGCCTGAAGAAGTGATACATGATAAAGTCATAAACCTAGGGTGGGGTGTAGAAGAAGCCTTTCGGCTTTAAGTCATTAAGTTTTCAACTGAAGTCCAATTTGCAGTTTTGCACAAATAAGGAACTGGGAACAAACTTTCATGTCCCTCGGGTGCCACAGATGTTTGCTCCTTCTCAACCAAAGAGCTGGGGAGGAAGCAACCAAAGCCAATGTTCCCTAGAAGTTCTGCTTACCTGTTCTGTCTGTGGCTTTGAGAGCAAAACAGAAACAGAGGCCGGGAGTCCTGGAGTGCGTAGGCAGTATATCAATGAATGCATCTCAACCTGGGGGTTGAGACTGCTGGGGGGGGGGGGGTCACCAGGGGGTGTCAGAGGGGTCACCAAAGACCATCAGAAAACACAGTATTTTCTGTTGATCACGGGGGTTCTGTGTGGGAAGCTTGGCCTAAATCTATCATTGGTGGGGTTCAGAATGCTCTTTGGTTGTAGGTGAACTATAAATCCCACTACTACAACTCCCAAATGACAAGGTCTATTTTCCCCCACACTCCACAAGTGTTCACATTTGGGCATATTGAGTATTTGTGCCAAGTTTGGTCCAGATCCATCAATTTTTGTGTCCACAATGCTCTCTGGATGTAGGTGAACTACAACTCCAAAACTCAAGGTCAATGCCCACCAAACCCTTCCAGTTTTTTCTGTTGGTCATGGGAGTTCTGTATGTCAAGTTTGATTCAATTCCATCGTTGGTGGAGTTCAGAATGCTCCATGATAGTAGGTGAACTATAAATCCCAGCAACTACAACTCCCAAATGTTAAGGTCTATTTCCCCCAAACTCCACCAGTTTTCACATTTGGGCATATTGAGTATTTGTGCCAAGTTTCGTCCAGTGAATGAAAATACATCCTGCATATCAAATAGAGTTCTGCGTGCCAAGTTTGGTTCGATTCCATCATTGGTGGAGTACAGCTCTTTGATTGTAGTTGAAGTATAAATCCCAGCAACTACAACTCCCAAATGACAAAATTAATCCCCCCCCCCCCCCCCCCCCCCCAACCCCACTATATTCAAATTTGGGCATATTGGGTATTTGTGCCAAATTTGGTCCAGTGAATGAAAATACACCCTGCATATCAGATATTTACATGACGATTCAGAACAGTAGCAAAATTGCAGTTATGAACTAACAATGAAAATAATTTTATGGTTTGGTGGCCACCACAACATGAGGAACTGTATTAAGGGGTCATGGGATTAGGAAGGTTGAGAACCACTGACCTATGATAACTCTTTCAGGAGTGAATTATCCCCTTCCTAGGATAATAATTTATCTCTCACTTCCTATTGTCTCACCCTGTTCTTAACTATGAGTTGTTTCTAAGTCAGATATTTGTAATTCAGGGACTGCCTGTACCTTGGAGAAAGGTAAACATTGGACGGGGAGACACTTGGGGTTGTTTTCCTCTCCTGCAGCCCTGAAACATCTCTCTTGCACCCACTCATCCTGCTACTGAATGCCACCGCCACACAACCCACAAAGCACTCCATTCCCGGTCTCTTTGGGTGTATCATAGAGCTGGAACACATGGGGCATCTAGTCCAACCCCTTGCCATGTAGTATCTACACCAGGTATGGGCCAAGTTGGATCCTCTAGGTGTTTTGGACTTCAACTCCCACCATTCCTAACAGCCTCAGGCCCTTCCTTGGGAATAGGAAAGGGCCCGAGGCTGTTAGGAATGGTGGGAGTTGAAGTCCAAAATACCTGGAGGGCCCAAGTTGGCCCATGTCTGGTTTTAACAGTCCTAATAAGCACATTTCTGGGGTATTTTCTTGACCTTTTGCCCCCTTTGAGGAGGGCTTCTTTGTAAACCCACTAATGCTGCATCACACTAGAGAAAAAAAAATCACTTAAATCCGGTTGCTGCCTCCTGCAGAATTCTGGGGTTTGTAGTTGAGGAAGAAGCCTTTCATAGCCTCCCTAAACTACAAACCCCAGAATTGAATAGCCTCCCAAAACATCAAACCCCAGTATCTAATCGCCTCCCAAAACTACAAACCCCAGAATTTAATCACCTCCCTAAACTACAAACCCCAGAATTTAATAGCCTCCCAAAACTTCAAACCTCAGAATGTCATAGCCTCCCTAAACTACAAACCCCGGAAAAAAATACCCTCCCTAAACGAGAAACCCCAGAATTTAATAGCCTCCCTAAACGAGAAACCCCATAATTGAATAGCCTCTCTAAACGACGAACCACAGAATTGAATAGCCTCCCTAAACTACAAATCCCAGAATTTAATAGCCTCCCTAAACTAAAACCCCAGAATTGAACAGCCTCCCTTAACTACAAACCTCAGTATTTAATAGCCTCTGAAAACTACAAACCCCAGTATCTAATAGCCTCCCTAAACTACAAACCCCAGGATTTCATAGCCTCCCTAAACTACAAACCCCAGAATGTAATAGCTTCCCTGAACAACAAACCGCAGAACTGAATAGCCTCCCAAAACTACAAACCCCAGGATTTCATAGCCTCCCTAAACTACAAACCCAGAATTTCATTGCCTCCCTAAACTACAAACCAGAGAATTTAATAGCCTCCCAAAACTGCAAACCCCAGAATGTAATAGTTTCCCTGAACAACAAACCCCAGAATTGAATAGCCTCCCAAAACTACAAACCCCAGAATTGAATACCCTCCCAAAACTACAAACCCTAGAATTGAATACCCTCCCAAAACTATAAACCCCAGTATTTAATAACCTCCCTAAACTACAAACCTCAGAATTTAATAGCCTCCCTAAACTACAAACCCCAGAATATAATAGCCTCCCTAAACTACAAACCCCAGAATTCTGCAGGAAGCAGAAACCGGATTTGAAGTGGATTTTTTTCTCTAGTGTGATGAGGCAAGCGGATTTTAAGTGGATTTTTTTTCTCCCCTGGCCCAGTGGGATCCCAGCAGAGCGCTTGGGAGGCTTAATGCTGGGACTTGCGGGCTTTCTTTGGAGCTGCCTCTCCTTCTATCCCCAGGAACCCCACAACTGTCAACCCGCGACAAAGGTGCCGTGCGGCTGAGCCCTGCCTGCTGGTGGACTCACTCACCTTGGCGGGAAGCAGCAGCGCCAGGAAAGAGGCCACGGCGAGGAGGCTCAGGCCGCGGGCCCGGTTCGCCATCTCGGAAGGGAGCTGAGCAAAGCAACGCCGGGAGTCAGGAGGACAAGCCTGGGAGCGGAAAGGCCTGGCCAGGCTAGAGAGTGAGCCCGCCCCCAAAGAGGAGGAGGAGGAGGAGCCCGCCCCTTTTCCTGTGGGGTGACTTGAAGAGCTCCTCCCCCGAAAGGCGCGCTTCCAAGGACGGCTCCAGGAACCGGTTCCTCCGCCCTTGAGCCTCGCCTTGCAAATAAGACCCGTCTGCAGGCATGGGCCAACTTGGGCCCTCCTTCCAGGTGTTTTTGACTTCAACTCCACAATTCCTAACAGCCGGTAGGCTGTTAGGAATTGTGGGAGTTGAAGTCCAAAACACCTGGAAGGAGGGCCCAAGTTGGCCCATGCCTGCACTATGGAATGAATCCACTTTCAATCCGGTTTTTGCCTCCTACAGAATTCTGGGCTTTGTAGTTTAGGGTGGGGGTGGCCTGTTAAAGGCTATCTTAACTAGTTTTGCATATTGGCCCTCTCTCCCCCTCCCCCAAATATGAGTCTGTTGTTGCTTAGGTTGCTTGTTTATTATTGTTTACGTTGTTTTCATGCTATTTTAATATGTTATTGTTCAGTTTTTAATTGTATGTTGCCTTGGGCTTGGCCCCGAGTCCCCTTCTTCCTCCCTAATCCCACCCTTTTGCAATCCCACCCTTCCAGAGAAAGGACCTTTTCAACTTCTGGGCTGCTGTAAATTTTCCGGGCTGTATGGCCGTGTTCCAGAAGCATTCTCTCCTGACGTTTCGCCTGCATCTATGGCTGAGGTTGTGAGGTCTGTTAGAAACTAGGAAAATGGGGTTTATAATCTCCCACTGTCAGCCCCGGTTTCTGCCAACCTAATAGTTCGAAAACATGCAAATGTGAGTAGATCGATAGGTACCACTCCAGCGGGAAGGTAACAGCGCTTTTTGCAGTCATGCCGGCCACATGACCTTGGAGGTGTCTATGGACAACACCGGCTCTTCAGCTTAGAAATGGAGATGAGCACCAACCCCCAGAGTGAGACACGACTAGACTTTATGTCAGGGGAAACCTTTACCTATATCTGTGGAATGTTCATATCTGTGGAACCACCTTGTCAGACTACACAGAGAAGCCAATTAAATCCACACGCATGTGGACAATTTCAAAAGGAAGGAAAAAACCATGAAAATGGAGAAACTCTGGCTACCTGTATTTAAAAATCTCTAAAATTATAACAGTAAATAAAGAACAACATCCAAAAAAACAGAGGAACTCCAGACAAGAAGCAATCAGGGACAGCTAATCACCTCCCAACAAAGGATTCCCCCAGGCAGTAACCAGCCAGACCTTGAAGCTGCAAAGCCATTAAAAGCTAATCAAGGTAGTTAACAACAACAACAACAGAGGGACTTTCCAGACAGGCCCTATATCCCAGGACCTGATCCCAAGTTTTCTGTTTATCTCAGTTTATCTGGCAGTGTGGACTCGTATAATCCAGTTTAAAGCAGAAAACCTGGGATCAGATCCCAGGATATAGGTTGTGTTTGGAAGGGCCCTGAGTCTTCCTTGCCTAAGAAAATCCTGATTACTTTCCCGCTGGTACTCCATGCAGTCATGCTGGCCACATGACCTTGGAGGTGTCTATGGACAATGCCAGCTTTTTGGCTTAGAAATGGAGATGAGCACCACACCCCAGAGTTGGACACGACTGGACTTAATGTCAGGAGAAAACCTTTACCTAATATAATTTGATGTTTAATAGGCTTTTCCTTAATCTCTCCTTATTATCCAACATTTTCGCTTATCCAACGTTCTGCCGGCCTATTTATGTTGGATAAGTGGGACTCAGAGGCAGGTAATTTTTTTTCTAAACCAAAGCTGGAAACTAAATAGATGTTGCAAGAAAAAAAACATGTTTTTCTTGGATCAGCAAAACTTTATTGAAATTTATACTTCACATGTAAGGAGTTGGATCTAGATTTAGGCTCATTAAAAGTTTGGAGAAGCAGATTTCTTACGCAGTTCCTTAAGCCATCTGGAAGTGCCATAGACGCCTTTCTGAACTGCAATCAAACTGCATCACGTGAGTCTGTACTGACCATATCCTGCAGTTACATGACAGTGTAGACAAGGTCCTAGAAAAGGGAAGCGACACTGGATTGATCCTGGTATTTGAAAGTTTCAGATCTAGCTCCCTGGAAGCAACCAATCTTTTATGGATTTCCATGCCAATTATAATACAGTTGCTTTTGTTTGTGCTCACAAAAGCATGTGATGTGCTTGAGCGACCAGCATTGTGGTGTGTCTTGCTGTTTTGGATTGTATCACAATTCTTTCAACAATGGGAATGTTTGTCCTACAACAGCCTATTTCCATTTATTTCCAGTGTGTCATTACTTGAGAGGCCTGGATGTCTTTCTTCCTCACGTGCCTTTGGTTTGCAGGCCCCTTGCTCTGTAAATCTTTGTCTGTGACACTCCCGTTGTTTTGTGTTTAAAAATTATAGGATGACCTTTGTGTAGCTTTCATCTAATCTTCCTAGGAAAGTGCTGAGATTGTGGTTGCAAACCCATTCTGACCCATTCATTCCAATCTGAAGTACGGCTGACAAAGCTATCAGTCCCTTCTATTGTGTCTCTGGTAGATGATCTAAAAAGTATTATTTGCCGATGTGTAATACCTTTAATAATGCTGATAATTTTTAACACTAGATCACTGCTTCTCAACCTGGGGGGTGGGACCCATTTGGGGTGGGAGTCACAAGGAGGATGTCAGAGGGGTTGCCAAAGACCATCAGAAAATACAGTATTTTCTGTTTAGCATGAGGCTTCTGTGTGGGAAGTTTGGTCCGATTCTATAGTTGTTGGGGTTCAGAATGCTCTTTGATTGTAAGTGAACTATAAATCCCTGCAGCTACAACTCCCAAGTGTCAAGGTCTATTTCCCCCAAACTCCACCAGTATTCACATTTGGGCGTATTGGGTATTTGTGCCAAGTTTAGTCCAGATCCATCATTGTTTGAATCCACAGTGCTCTCTGGATGTACTACAACTCCAAAACTCAAGGTCAGTATTTTCTGTTGATCATGGGAGTTCTGTGTGCCAAGTCTGGTTCAATTCCATTATTGCTGGAATTCAGAATGCTGTTTGATTGTAGGTGAACTATAAATCCCAGCAACTACAACTCCCAAATGACAAAATCAAGCCCCCTCCCAATCCCACCAGTATTCAAATTTGAGCATATTGAGTATTTGTACCAAATTTGGTTCAGTCAATTAAAATACATCCTGCATCAAGATTCATAACACTTGCAAAATTACATTTATGAAGTAGTAACAAAAATATTTTATGGTTGGAGGTCACCACAACATGAGGAACTGTATTAAGGGGTCATGGCATTAGGAAGGTTGAGTAACATTGCACTAGATCAACAGCTTGGTTGCACACATTTTTGGGGGAGGGGGGAAGAGTAAACCAACTGATTCCAGAGATCTTACCCTCAGATAAAAGTGCAGAAAGTTGTCTTTCTTGCCACACTCTCGTCTTCTTGATTATACTTTTTAGTGGCTCCATTCTATATACTGTTATGTGATGTTTGGCCTTTTAAGATTGTAGAACCCATGGAGATGTAGCATGGGAGCATTTTGTCCAGTATGTTGTTTACATGGATACAAAATGTATGTGCTGCTGAAATAAAGTAGTTAACTAGTACTGACATTATTACTATTGGATGACAGTATTAACTTGCTTGTTATCTGACTCAGTAGTAACCAAATGACTAAGCAGGAGTGTCTGTGTGTCAGTCAGCACAAATGCCACTCAGTGTTTCGCAACCGACCTTTTGGGACCATCAGCTGGTGAAAATACTTATTTTTAGAAAGGTTCTCATGATTCAGTTCATAAATATTGTCATCCTGCTTTAAAACGTAAAGACTATGAAGAAATCCAAAGTCCATCTAATTAAACTTGATAGCAAGACAAAGATTTTGTTACAGAACAATCCACATACTATAGCAAAATCATTTAAATAGATTTTCACTGTTGTGTGATAGAGGAACCTACACAGAATATACCATGAGGCAAAAGGATATGACTAATATTCAGATTTTTAGATTACTTGCATGAACCCTGTAAATGACAAACCACAGGGAGGACTTTCTTCTTGTGAATAAAATAATCAATGGGACAAGTTTTTGCCTTTTGCTTCATGGTTCATACTAGGATCCTTCTAAACTTTTGGCTCCCAAGTGGATATCAGCAGCATGCAAAAACATTTCTTTAAAAATCCCTATAGTTTAATGTTATGTAAATTAGCATATAGCTTGGATAAAACACTGCTTACCAATATACTGAAAGACTAAGTACCTCATCATATTAGAGAATGAATCCACTTTAAATCCAGTTGCTGCCCCCTGCGAAATTCTGGGGCTTGTAGTTTAGGGAGGAGCCTTTAAACAGTCTCACTAAACTACAAACCCCAGAATTTTGCAACCGGATTTAAAGTGGATTCATTCTCTAGTATGATGAAGTAATAAAAGCATGTTTGAAATGGGGAAAAAACTCTCTACCTTTGGAGGGCCAAACTGCACTTAATATGAAAGAAGTTCCAAGCTGGGAGACATAATTTTAAAAAAATTCCTTTGCATTGTTTCAGAAGCAACCCTGAGAAACTACAAGTCGCTTTTGGTGTGAGAGAAATGGCCATCTGCAGAGACATTGCCCAGGGGACGGCCGGATGTGTTACCATCCTGTAGGAGGCTTCTTTCACATCTCTGCTGGAGCTGGAGCTAACAGACGGGAGCTCACCCTGTCTTGAGGATTCAAACCATCGACCTTCAGTTCAGCCGGCACAAAGGTTTAACCCATTGTGCCACCGTGGCTCCTTCCTTTGCAGGTAGAAATCAAGCTGATAACCATAATTATGGGATAGACACAACCTTAAGCACACAATGAAGCAAGCCTCATCTAATGTTTGTTCTTGGCTACCATCAAGTCAACTTTATGACGGCTGAATGAATGAGACTTCCAAGTCACCCTGTCATCAGCAGCCCTGCTCAGGCTGTCCTTCTTTCTCTGAATCTATTCATCTGTAATGAACTCTTTGTCCTTTTCCTGTTTTCCATATTGTCAAGCATTATTGTCCTTTCTAGTGACTCATGTCTTCTCATGAAATATCTAAAGTACAACAGTCTCCTTTCAGTCATATTGGTTCCTGGGGAGAGCTCAGATTTTTTCCAGGACCCATTTATTTGTCCTTTTGGCAGTCCAAAGTATCCACAAAACTCTCCTCCAAAACCACATATTAAATGAATTGAGTATTTTCCAACTGGGTGATTATCCCTTACTTAAAATGCTTGGGATGAGAGGAGTTTTGGATTTTGAAATATTTGCACATACATAAGGTGCCTCAATAATAGTACTGTCAAAGGATATACCTGGGCATACACAGCTGTAGGGAGCCCCCGGTGGCGCAGAGGGTGAAACCGCTGAGCTGATGAACATGCTGACCGAAAGTTGGTGGTTTGAATCCGGGGAGTGGGGTGAACGCCCGCTGTTAGGCCCAGCTTCTACTAACCTAGCAGTTTGAAAACATGCAAACATGAGTAGATAAATAGGTACTGCTTCAGCGGGAAGGTAATGGCTCTCCATGCTGTCATGCCAGCCACGACTTTGGAGTTATCTACGGACAATGCCAGCTCTTCGGCTTAGAAATGAAGATGAGCACCAACCCTGAGAGTTGGATACGTGTCAGGGGAAAACCTTTACCTTTATTTTTTACACAGCTGTAGGTAGGAATCTTTTAGCATAATTCTTGCTATTGAATCATGTGGCCAAGTGCAATAGTTTTATAGAAACGGCACCGTATTAACTCTGATCACGAGATGGCTGTGGACCCTGAACATATATCTCCAACCTACCAACGTATTAAACTTAAAATCCCATCATCCTCGATCAGCATGGCACTGGTTGGAATGGTTGGGAATTGTAGCTCACCATATTGAGTTGGCTGCCAGCTTGAAGAAGTGGTGCCACATACATATTTTTGTTACTTGCAACACTTACATGTGGAAGCAATGTCCAAAGTAAACAAGAAGTCACCTCTGGAATGTTGAAGAGAACTTTATTGCCAATGAGACCAATAAGCACTGGGGTTCAGAAGTAAAAAAAAACAAACTTGATGAATAATAGTACTATTAGGGGCCCACAGTGGTGCAATGGGTTAAACCCTTGTGTCAGAAGGAATAAAGAAGAACAGGTTGGAGGTTTGAATCCTGGGAGTGCACAGATGAGCTCCCGTCTGTCAGCTTCAGCTCCCCATGCAAGGATATGAGAGATGCCTCCTGCAAGGATGGTAAAAAAAAAAAATCCGGGCGTGCCCTGGGCAACATCCTTGCAGATGGTCAATTCTCTCACACCAGAAGCAACTTGCAGTTTCTCAAGTTGCTCCTGACATTAAAAAAAGTACTATCTCATTTTTTTACAAACATACTGTATTCATTCCAAGATCCCTTCTGTTGTAAAAAAAAAACCAAAAAAAAAAAAAACCACAACCCATGATTCTAAGGTGCACCCCATTTTTATAGATGTTTCTTTGCGGGGGAATGTGTCTGAGAATTGAAGAAATACAGTAGAATTGCAGCTTTCTCTGCCCCAAGAGCTCCAGTACATTAAGTAAGAGATGCAGCAAGAGAAAATAAGACAGATTAACAGTTTGCATTTAAAAATAGTTCTTCACTATTTCAAGTAAACCCTAACAATTAATTATGGTGGTTTCCTTGCCTGTGTTTTTCTGTGTCTTACTCTGCTAAGCATGGGACATCCGAGTCAGAGTTTTGAGTGGTCTTCTCACAATCTCATTGCATGATCTTTAGTGTGTGTGTGTGTGTGTGTGTCTCTGTGTGTGTATATATGTGTGTGTGTGTCTTGATTAGATAAACAGTATTTAAAAAACCTTTGTGTGTTCTTCAGTGAGGAAATATATAAAACTGCTGATAATGCTGTTTAGCAAACAAGCCAAAATCATTTTCTACATGCCATGATTTACATAGGCAGATATACTAAGTAACTCAAACAGTTTAATTATTTAAGCAGGAATGTTAAACAGATGCTCTTTTGAGGTCCCAACTGTGCCACACCAACTGAACTATGGGGCAAAGTGGTTGGCTGAGAAATTTCTAGTAGCGTTTGTCTAAACAAAAACTGTTCCCTCAGTCCATTTATATTACTAGTGCAGTTGCCAAGGTATGTGCAGTGTGAAATCTATCAATATTTACAGCCAAGAAGGAAAGCATGTAGAGCAGTGATGATGACTCTTGTTTTCATAGACTCATAGACCTGCAAGAGACCACAAGGGCCATCCAGGCAAGCCCCTTACCAGGTAGGAAAATATAATCAAAGCACCCTAAATAGGTGGCCATTCAGCCTCTGCTTAAAAACCTCCAGAGGAGACTCCACTACAACCTTAAGGCATTCTCCATTGCAGAGCAGCTCCTACTGTCAGGATGTTCTTTGTAATGTTTAGGCGGAATCTCTTTTTCTGCAATTTGAATCCATTACTGTGTCTTAGTCTGCAGAGCAGCAGAAAACAAGCTTGCCCCCTCCTCAGTATGATATGACCTAGGGAAGTGAACCTTGGGTACTGCAGTAAAGTTCTTGGATTTTAGAAGTATGAAAGGTGACTATAATGCCGGAGACTGTCTGTCACATTCGATGACAAGGATTTTCAGAAGCTAATTGTTGTTCTTCTTTGAAACTGCAGTTCTAATTGTGGCCCCAGAATTGGAAGAAGTTCAGGCTTAAGCCAGGGCTTTGTGAGATAAGTGGCAGCATTTTCAACCTTAGTGTGACAGAAATGATTTGGTCAAGGAACAGCACCCTTCCAGGAGTCACCACTTTGAGTAGCACTGACTTAAGTGATGAACTTTAAATGATAATGCAGCCAAATCCTCCATGATTACATTTGAAAATGCAGGTACCATTTGTTTTTCTCACTATTTCTTATGCATATATGCATGAACACACACAATTACCTATTTTTGTGTACTTTGTAATCCACATGAGAGAAAAATCCGGGTAGAAAAATTGTGCTGTTTTATTCTGTGTGCATTTCATAGCTTTATTCAGGTACATTTCATAGCTTCTTGTTTGAAAAAGCAAACCCAAACTGTTTCTTTATAGAGAAGTGTACAGAGATGCCAAAATAATAAGTGGGCAGTTGGGAGAGAGATCCACCCAGAAGTAGGTTTGGTGGCTTCCTTCTTGTAGGAGCAGATTAGAGCATCTCTGAGCAGCTTATGTACTAATTAGAAAATGCCGTAGACTGCTGTTTATAGCACCAATCAGTCATATGACGTCTGACCCAGGATTCCAAGGAAGATTGCAAGAAAGTTAGTATCTCTTTAATGAGATACTGACTTTCTCATAATTAAATGCAGAAGTACTATTCTAATCAGGGATAGTATTCTTCTGTGGTGTAGAGATGTTAAGAATGAATTTTAAGAATTGTTATGAAAACAAAGTGGGCATAATATTCATTTTCAACATACAAAATACCCCTTTGTATCTGAAAACCAAGAAACAAAGGCAAACCCTGTAATATTTTCATTTTAATGATAACATGGAATAGCAGCCTGAACAAAAATGTACATAGGTTAGTGACCACCCACCATCTTGTAGAGTTCTTTTAAGAGACAAACTAGAAATCTTTTCCAAGCAAATACAGAGATGCTGCTATGGAGAAAAACTCAGTTTGGTCTTATGATGCACATGTAGTACTGAGAAACAGTTACATCTGTGTAATCTTTGGTTAAGTTGCTATGAACAGAATCTGTTCTAACATTACAATACAAATAGGGTTCAATCGAAGTGATTTACAATTATCTGGTCCTCTTCACTGATATTGTTTTAAAAGGAAAAAGTCCTGTTTCTGTGCAGCTTCCACAGTAGGCATTGTAATCTGAACCACTGTTTCTTCACTCCTTACTGTTATCAGTTGTTTTTTTCTTTGTGTTTTCCCCATGAATTTTTCTATCTGTTTTCAAAACTGCAGAAATCTCTTTGGGAGAGTGGGGACAAAACAATACAATAGAATATTCTAAGGTTCCTTAGTGAAATGGGGAGGCAGATCAAATTATTCCCAAGTATCTGCACTTCAGCATGCTAGCACTGCATTTCATTAATGTTTCCTCTTTCAAAAGTGCAAGAAAACCTTTTTGATGACATACATATGTAATAAAAACAATTACATAACAAAGTTTGACTGAACAAGTTGGATACTGCAGTTTGAAAACTAGGTTTCAAAATACTGCTACCTGCCTAGTTCGACAATACTGGATTCTAGAGGTTTTCTCATTAGTCTTCTGAGTTTTCCCCATTCTATTTTATTTTGTGTAAAAATGTTGTAGCCTTTTAAAAGAAATAGATATTAAAGCAATTGTGAAATGGTCCTTAAATTAATATCGAACAGTATTTGAAAACATCATTCTACTTAAATGGCATGTTCCCTTTGAAAAGTGGAAGAACAGGGTTTTTTATTGTGTCAGAAGCTTCTTGAGAAACTGCAAGTTGCTTCTGCTGTGAGAGAATTGCATAGGAATTCATTCATGTTTTTTTTTTCAAATTATAATCTGGCCCTCCAACAGTTTGAGGAACTGTGACCTGGCCCTCTGTTTAAAAAGTTTGTGGACCCCTGGTTTAACCCATTGCACCACCACGGCTCCTGAAAGAACAGTGCTAACATAGAACAAAAAAGACTAGCGTGGAAGCAGTTTACACCTTAAGCCACCGCAAGGAGATGAAAGTGTGGTATTTGAAAAAGTATAGGTGATCCAATTCATTTGATATTGGCTAAAAGTAATTTTGTGCAGTTTGAAGTAAAAAGGAACTATTCCTCATTTTTAGTTTGAGGTTAATAATTTTAAAATTAAAATGTTTTAAATTAATTGATGCCAGATTTTGGCCTAGAATGTGATGCTTTTGGGGTTTATCCCAAGACTTCCTGTGGCATCTGATTATTTTGTTAAACTTTGAACAAAAACAATACTGTATTATTTTGAAATTAAAACAATGCTATATCAGTATGAAATACAGACGTGTCAATCTGGGAGATCTAGGTACTTGAATGAACACTTTCATACATACATTTTTTAAAAATATAGACACATACCAATATATTTTTGCTGGAAAAAGTTATAATAGTTGTACTGTGGTTGTTGAAACTGATTTTCTGCCACATACAACAGCTGCTGCCCAATATTGTCTTGATACTGAGTCAATTAATTTCCAGAGGATTTCAGATAAGGAGCTAATCCAGCCCTATCTGAAGATAATCTGAAAGTTATAAAATTTCCAACCCTACTAATGGAAATGGAGGTCTTACCCAACATCTTAGGAAAAATTGAAAACTAAAATTTTAATTGTAGTCCATTTTTTTTACTTTAGGAAAAAAGGCTACCTCAGAATTCACTCAGCTTGTACATAAGACAGTTGTTTTAATGAAGACAAATGTTTTATGATTTCACACATAGTACATTTTAAAATTATATGCCAGTCTGCCTAAAACATACAGCATAACTTCCCCCATTAAATGAATATATTTATCACAGCATTAATAACCCATTTTGTCTTTAATTTCATGCTAATTGGGAAGCAAAGTGCTCAGGCATATCTTTTTCAAATAAAAAAAAATCAGCAGCATATTAGCAAAAGTGCTTCTGTGCCTGAAGTTCATGAAAGCCCTGTTCACCTCCTCCTTTACTTGCATATATAAGGCCCTTGCTTTTCTAAGTCCTAAGAGCGGTCATCCTTAAAATCAAGTGTCCTTCAAAATGAACCATACTCCTGAACAATAATAAAGTAATTTTAAATTAATCACCAAAATAAGAGTGCAATCATTCTGCTGTAGTTTGAGCAGGCAGTCTACAAAAATAGGCATTTTACCTTCTGGTAAAGAAATGTTGTCCACAATGACAAAGAAACTAAGACTTTAAAAATGGCTAGTGTAACTTTTATGTCAAAATAAAAAAATGACTCCACCCTTGCGGTGAGAAACACATATAACTAACAAGGTATACATGTGAATATAGTAACGTAAGGGAATTGTGTCATGTTCTGGGCATCTCAGGTCTGAAAGAATATTCACGGAGTTGGAAGCAATGTAGAAACAGCTGACTGAAATGACCAAGCATCTATTAGGAGGAAAAAGTCTTGTTTTTATCTGTTTTTTAAAAACAATAATACTGTAACTCAAGGTCACCCACTGAAACTGTTGGGCAATAGACACAAGGAAACATTTCTTTACACAATGGCTAACTAACCTATCTACTGCTGCTCTCCAGCAACTGGTATAACATGTCCACTGGCAAAGATGGCCTTGAGAAGCCAATTAGACAAACCCTAAGGCTCTCTGGTTATTCACTATTACTGCTAAATGAAATCTTGCTGAAGTGGGGTAGTTTGCCACAAACCGTGGAAAAGTTACTTTCTGGTTACCAGGTTTGTTGCTCAGGCCAACATGGACCTTTCAAAGAAGTTGCTTGTGAAAATTCTGGTTTTTCTCTGAATACCAGTCGCTGGAGAGCAGCAGTAGAAAATCACTATTCCCTTCCAATCCTGCTTGTGGGCTTCCAAAAAGCATCTGATTTGTTCCTGTTGGAAAGGAAACAGAAGACTGGATCAAAGATTGGATCTTCTTAATCATTTCTTTTACTGAATAATTGTCAGTAGCCATTTTTGTTGCTAGAACATCCCAAGGGAACCACTGGCACCCACAAAGCCTTAAATTCAATTGTTGGTTCTTACACAACCTGTGGCCCTCCAGGTGTTTTGGACTTCAACTTCAAGAATTCCTGGCCATTGCACAAGTTGGCTAGGGCTTCTGGGATTTGGAAGCCCAAACATCTGGAGGGCCACAGGTAGTGCAGGCCTGGTCTAGGGAGAGACACAATGAATCAACCAGTGAATGGTAAATCAATACTACTACAAATTCCACATATTCTATGTGTTTATTCTAGTTGGGACTGGCAATTTAATTTAGCACCCCTTCCTTTAGCACTATTCTGTAATACTGGTAGTATTCTTTTCTCTGAACAGCCAATGAATGATAAGAACAATAGAGATTTTGATGATCGTTGAAGGCTTTCATGGCTGGAATCACTAGGTTCTTGTGGTTTTTTTCGGGCTATAGGGCCATGTTCTAGAGGCAGGAGAAACATCAGGAGAAATGCCTCTAGAACATGGCCCTATAGCCCGAAAAAACCCACAAGAACCTAATAGAGATTTTGCAAGCTTGAAGTACAGATTGAGCATCCCTTATCCGGTATTTTGAAATCCAAATAACACTAAAATCCAAAATTGTCCACATGGATGGGTGAAATAATGATATTTTTGCTTTTTCATGATTCAATGTGCACAGACTTTGCTTCATGCACAAAATATTTTACAATTTGTGTATAAAAAATATCAGCAGACTGTATACCAGCTATATATGAATGGATTTTACATTTAGACTTAGGTCCATCTCTATGACATCTCATTATGTATGCCTACGCAAACACAGATATTCCAAAATCCAAAATATGGAATACTTCTGTCCCCAAGATTTTTGGATAGTGGATATGCAACCTGTAATTTCAAATAAGGAAAATAATGGGTATGTGAAATGTATGTGTTTGCCTATTTATCTGAACTCAGTCCCTGAATTAAAGTAAATCCTCTTAAATTTGTCTGAAATTTGATCGTGATGATCAATTGCCTTTCCTGCTTGTAAAGCTCACTGGCCTATGACTTGTGCTTGTTCAGAAATGATCCAGTAATCCTCTGTGGTCCAGGATATATTTGTACTGCACTCAAAACAGAAAGGGCTAAATCATGCAGGATATTTTTTTCTTAATCTAAACTGCCCTGAATAACTGCAAAATACCATAACTTGAATTAAGAAACACGTGGAGTGTGGGAAAACATCATTATGTAATAAGTATTTTACCTGAGATTACAAAAAATAAAAATAAAATAAGAATGCCATTTGTAGATTTTACAATAAAACAAATTCTAGTAGCAACAATAATCAAACATGACTGTACTATACTGTAAAATAGTTTGGCTTAGCAAGAAAAAAGGGTGGCCATATATTCTACTTTATAAATGCGTGTCATTTTTTTTAAAGCTACCCCCCATTTGAAGGATTGTCCAGTTTCACTCCCTGTGTGATGATAAAGGACCATAAAAAGGCAGCATTGGGGCCTTAAAGTTGCCCATCAAGATTTAGCACCTGGGCAACAGAGTGAGTAGGCACACAGGTCACCTCGGTCCCACACTTTCCACCTTACAGTGAGATAGATATTATTTTTAATTGGGAATTCGGGTAATTGTTTCTAAATCTGCATATGCAAAGTTTATGCTACTCTTTGTATCTACTTTTGTCCTCTTTTTAATGATGTATCCTTTTTTGCCAGTGACTCTACAAGGAAGTGCTACAAGGAACTGAATGCAATCCTTCATGATACTAATGAGCAAAATAAGGCAGCCAGAGTAATTAGTAGAAAGAGTCCTAAAGCATTATGGGAGACCAAGCTGCCATCTGTATGGCACAAGAGGAATTAACACCAGACCAAGTCTAATCACTATAATATTTTAGAAACAAGATTAGAGCTCGGAATAGCCAAAATGCCACTGGAGAAAGACCTATGTGGTTTTAAGAAGCATCGGGAAATTTATCTCAAGGAACAGATTACTGCAAAGAGGGAGACTTCTCTGGTATAGTAAGGGCTATTATTCAGGAAAGCTATAATAGGGGACCCAATCTTCCCTGCCTTGAAGCCAGCAACAAAAACCTGGTGAACTTTGTAGTGGAAGACCTTAGCAGTGCCTCTTCGTGAGGAATCCTGGTCTCATTCAAAGGAGCCAGGACATGCTTGAGTATCAGCAAAACATTGCCATTTTCTGCAGAAAAAATACTAGACTTGCTTGGGAGCTAGTATGGGCAGGAGCTTCCAGTCCTCTCCTTAGATGCAATGGGTACTAGCTTTTTCTGTCCTTTTCCCTGGGTTGCAGGAGTCGCAGGATGCGCTCGTTTTTCGTGAGGTCCGAAGGCAGCTCATTTTTCTGCAGTAAGAAACAAATGGGCGGGAAACCAGAGAGAAAGATTTTACACACTGAGAGACCAAGAAATACCATTCAAAGGAACCACATGCACCTGCACCCCCAACTGTGGACTGTGCTGTTATTGCTGAAGCGTATATAAATGCAGTATTTTTCAGCCTATCAAGAGACTTGATAAATAATGGCTATAGTTTAATATAATCTTGTGAGATTTGTCTGGAAAACAGTACATTTAGTATACTTTTTAATGTTGTAAGGAAAGATTTCTATGAATTTGGTGGCTATAAACTACTTGCCCTATGAAAACAAACATATACAGTACTTGTATCAGAGAGTTTGTTTATTTATTTATTTATTTGACTTGTATACCGCTACTCCCAATTTGGCTCAGAGCGGTTTACAGCAGTAGATTAAAACAATACAATTAACTTTAAAATACAATAAAAACAAGAACAGACATAGTCCCAAGTTATTCACCTTTGGACACCAAAAGGGAGCTATGGCAAATGATAAATGATTTGTACCTTAAAACATCTCAGGGGCCCAAGATTTCCCCAGTGATGATTCAGCCCACTTACAGATATTACTTGACGGCCTTTCTCTTTAGAGATTTGGGATATATGGTATGATTCCCATATCGGGGGGGGGGGGGGGGATAAATTCCCCGACTTCGTGTGCATATGCAAAACCACTGATAATAGTGAACCTTATTGAAATGAAGACCTTCTAGCTCAGGAATAGCATAGAGTTGTGTGGAGGACCCAGAAAACTTTTTGTTTTCCCTAAACTGGTAAACACCTTGGCATGTTATAAAGAGGGAAGTACTGGGGAGGCCCTGCTCTCGATCCCACCTCCTTTGCAGGTGAGGTTGGTGGGGATGAGAAACTGGGCCTTCTCAGTGGTGGCCCCTTGACTATGGAACTCCCTCCCCAGTGACATCAGATCAGCCCCCTCCCTCCTGACCTTTAGAAAGAAATTAAAAACATGGCTGTGGGACCAAGCCTTTGGCCAGTAAATTCAGTGCATTACGTGATATGGAATAAGTGCAATTACGACTGGAATGGGTCCTGGACTACGATTTTGGATTGTTTGGTTTTAATGTTTAGATGTTTTTAACTTTATGGTTTTTAATGCATATGTTTATTTTATTTGCATGTCTGTTAATGGGGCATTTAATTGTTGCCTACTTGTAAGCTGCTCTGAGTCCCTTTCGGGGTTAAATATAGTAAATAAATAAATAAATAAATAAATGTTACCCATTGAGCTGACTGTATTGTCAGCTACAGTTCTGCCACCAAGCTCTCAATTTTTATGCATCTGTTTGCACTGAAACGAGAGTTTTAATAGCTAATGTTTTGGTTTTACATTTTTATTTTGCTTTCCTTTATAATGCTATCTAAAAAATCCTTGTGAATGACCTTTGTCTTCAAAGGCAGCATCAAAATATTTATTTCTAACTAATGTGTTTTTCTGTGTTTTAAGTACAATTGTGTATTTTATCTGTATTTTGCTGTTACTTATCTGAAACTATAGAAATAAATATTGCTTCTAGGCTATCATGTGGATAAAGTCTCCAGTATGTTGAGAAGGGAGTTGCAATTTGATAATGTTTACAAAAACAAATGTTTGCAATTTTTTGACTGCTGCAAGGCTTTTTGTTATTTTTGATGCTAAAGAACAACAGGATTACTATTCTAAAAGTTTTAGTCATAGAACACAGTTAAGATAACCACTCTTTTAAAAGAGGTTTGCTGCCCTCTAATGGCAGCAAATTTACAAAACACAGAGAATTTAAATTGTATTTATTTTGTTCCAAATACCTGATCCCTAAAATAGATCTATTCATTTTTTGAGATTTTATTTATAAATTTGTCAAACAAAATGTATAAGCATACATTCTTCCGTCTTTTTCCAATATCTTAGACAAAAGCGTATGTCATATTAGATCTATTCAGAGATTGAAAAATGCAGTGTGCTGAATTCATCCTAACAGATTCAAAATGTCTGAAGAGGCCCAAGCCACAAATGCATGCTACCTTGTTTCTAAGGAATGGATCTGCTCCTGCTTCTAAGAGTAGTGCAACTGCTTTAACGCTGCCACCAAGAACTGCGGCATGGAGAGCCGACGTCCCACTCTAGGAAAAGCAAAAGGTATAAGTATATTCATGTGCAGAATATGCAGAAAACAGTAAAGAACTGTCTCATGTCTCATCAGCAATACAGGAAAATTTTAAAAAGAGCTGCCATTTTCATATATTTCCAAAATTGGAAGGGGGGGGGGGATGACAACAGACAGACTCTAGGGCAGGGCTTCTTAAACTTTTCCACTTACAACCCCTTTCAGCCTGAGAAATTTTTATGTGACCCCAAGTATATAAAATAGGTATAAAAATAAATCATTCACTGATAACAAATGCACAGCACGGTGTTTGAACATCTCCAGCACCATATCTCAAATGTTTTCTTCTTGCTAAGATTTTCAATGTCCAGCTTTTAAAACAATACATATATATGGGAAATACGATGGTATGCACAACCTTAACTTTACAATTCATTCATATATCTTTACACTTCAAGGTATTTTTTATTTCCTTCATAGTCACTCTTCCTAATTCTCTTTTGATTTCTTGACTGTAGTCTCCATTCGGATTAATGATTAAAGCAAGATATGGAAAAACTTGAACAATTTCAATAAGCTTCATTGTCTATTTTAAAGTTATGTAACTGAGCTGTAATTATATTTGTTTTCTTAATATTCAACTGTAACCTGTCTTTGCACTTTCTCCAATTTGCATGTCTTCTTCCTCCGAATATAATTCCTTTTAACATAAATATTTAGCATATAAGATAGACAGCTATGGTGATAAGATGCACACCTACCTGGAAGTAAATTTCACTGAATCCATAAAATAGCATTAAGTGAATTAGAGTTCTGAGTATCTCAAAGATTTTCGCAGTACTTGCCTTCAGTAAGCCAAGTGAAGGGGAGAATTTAAGCAATTCTTCTATAACACTACTATATCCTTTGTTCGCAGCTTTAAGTAAAGCAGTTGTGCCATCCTTCAACAAAAAGAGGGGTGAGGGAGAAAAAGAATTGGAATTTGGCATAATTCCTTTTAAAATCTTTGATCGGTAATGGTACAGTAATTTGACTTACCATGCCAAGTGTTAACATGAGATAGGAGCTTGCTTGCAACAGTAACAAAAAAGGATACAGGAAGAAAAAGATTGCTGCATCCCACAATTTTAATTATCCCACAACATTCTGGGACCACAACAGAGAATGCCTTATGTATTCCTTTACTGAAGTCCTAGAAGCAGTGTGAGGAAATGTAAACAGTGGCCACCACCAGCAACATTTGTCTGCTACTGTCATCTGCTTCTCCTTTTTTTCTGCTTTTAGTCTCACAAAGAAAGGAAACAGAGAGACAAATGGGGTGGTGGGTTCTCCAGAGACAGAACAAATTCATAATGCTAGGCCTAATCTGACTGCAGCTTTCAGAGCAAGCAAATAAGAACTCAAAAGCCTTGGGGATGGAAACAGCCTAACCTTGTTTTATGGGAGTTTAGCTGTGAACTGATGAAAGGTTCAACTCTGAACCTTTGTAATTCAGTTTTATCACCAAGATGTTACATGGGAAAGGTAATGGCTTCAGTGGATGTTCTGAATAGTTCTGTGGGTAACTATTGGATTAAACCAAAAATAGAAGAAACTAGGAACTAAGTATGAACAACACACTGAGGTAAATAGAATTTCATTATTTCAAAATAACCACAGATGGAAATGCCCAATCCAGGTCAGCACCATAACATGCATGGAAGGGATGTGTAAAACATCCTTTCTGGCCATTTCTACATCCACTCACTTAATTGATTTATTCCACATTGAGGTTTTTTTTTAAAAAAAAAAAAAACATCTCTTATCAGTGTCACTTTTCTTAGTCTCCACATAGAAGCAGAATGAAGATAAGGGCAATTGATTTTGGTGGAAGATCTAAACCTCCCTGCCTACGAATACTGGCCAAGGTACAGGTTGGGTCAGTGTAGGTATTTACTTTGGATAAGGGAAAAGAAGAAGCACAGCTGCACACTGTATACTTAACACTACATCATTTGGCTGTAAAAGGTGTCAAGAGTTCCATAGGTTTTCCTTATAACATGGAATACCAAAAAATTTAGAAATGCTACTTTTTTTGTTTGTAAATCCTACAGTCTGTCAATAAGCATGGCCAATGTGGAAGGGAAAGTAGCTTGAAGATTGTGCAAAGAATGGCAAGGAAATACTATTAAAATGGAATAAAACCTTTCTGATTTGTTTTCTTTCTGCATAAATAAGAGAAAACTCACATTTCTTGTCGCATCTCGGTCAGCTCCTCGGAGTAGCATTACTCGCACTATCTCACTGTGGCCCATCTGAGAGGCAATCCACAATGGAGCTGTCCCATCCTGTAATGGGAGAAAACAAAGCCAAATAGGATTGATCCCTTTGAAGTAGGCAACACTAAACAGCTCTGGCAGGTCACTACAAGAGTCTGGCTGGAGCTCAAGGACAAAATGAACTTGGATCCCTGAAATCTTTTTTCCCTCAAGAAGAGACAGAGTGTTCAACTCAGAGCTTGAAAAATTACTGATGGGCATGCAAATTGAGATATTCAGCAGTTACAGCCCCAAAGGATAACTTTTCAAAGCTTTGTGAAACATATATCTAATTGCCATGTCTTTGTCACTTAATAAAAATCTGCAGAAAGCTAGGCAAAATCAGGTCTGGTAAGTATTTGGAAGGGAGATTGTCAGCAATGCTGGATTCAATGGACTACATTCAGATAAAAGGCAATGGTAAATCTCTAATAAATCTTGACAAGAAAACTCTATGACAGGGTTGCAATAAGTTGGAGGTGGCTTGAAGGCACACAACAAAAACAAAACAGACAGCATATCCAGTAACCTCATAATCGAATGCAATGGACCATATTATTTTGAATCCAGATTTGGATCCAGATTTGGTTAAAATTTGGTTAAAATAATCCACTGAAATAAACGGGGCTTTAAGATAGTCACACTTAATAATTTTAGTCCTGTTTCTTTTTGGAATGACTACTCTAAACATGACTAATTCTGATTAAAACCCCTTAATTTTGTACATATGGTACAGCAAAGGCTAAAAAGAAAACATTATGGTTCCAATGTAGCCGAATCCAAATCCAACAGATAAAGAAAAATCTCGGTATGGGAGAGGTCTATTTTAACTTGGGAATGGGGTGAGTTCCTGTCTGTCAGCTCCAGGTTCTCTTGAAGGGACATGAGAGAAGCTTCCCACAGGATGGTAAAACATCCAGGTGCCCCCTGGGCAACGTCCTTGCAGACAGCCAATTCTCTCACACTATAAGTGACTTACATTGCTCCTGACACACACAAAAAACCCCCGATCCATTATGAAGTCAGAACTTCAGATGTGTTTGTTTGGACATTACGATAAACCATAGTTTATCATAATGTCCCTATGTGGACAAGTCTACATAAGGATCACCAAAAGCAGGGTCCAAACACGAATCAAGGAACATGAAAGGCACTGCATAATACTTCAACCAGAGAAGTCAGCCATAGCAGAGCACTTGATAAACCAACCTGGACACGGCATATTATTTGAGAACATAGACATGCTAGATCACTCTAACAACTACCATATCAGATACAGAGAAGCCACTGAAATCCACAAGCATGTGGACAATTTCAACAGAATGGAAGAAACCATGAAAATGAACAAAATCTGGCTACCAGTATTAAAAAACTCTAAAATCCTAACAGTAAATAAAGAACAATACTCAAAAACAGGGGAATTCCAGACAAGAAACAATCAGCTAATCATCTCCCAACATAGGATTCCCCCAGGCAGTAAGAAGCCAGCCCTTGAAACTGCTCAGCCATTAAATGCTAATAAAGGTGGCCAATTGAAACATTCACGCCTACCTCAAACAGACAAGAGTTCTTTCCCCTGCCCTGGACATTCTACAGATATATAAACCCCTTTTCCTAGTTTCCAACAGACTTTACAACCTCTGAGGATGCCTGTCATGGATGTGAGCAAAACGTCAGGAAAGAATGCTTCTGGAACATGGCCATACAGCCTGGAAAACTCACAACGACCTGAAACATAGTTTACTGCTCACATATTTTCCCTGCCCAAGTCCAGATAGCATGAGGAGACTAGACTAAGCTTTCACTTCCATTTTTATTTTGACCACAGCTTGTTCTGTTGTTCACACTTTCAACTGCAGTTATTCTTATCTGATTTGTGGAAGCAAATCAAAAGCGAGTCCAAAGGACTAATGTTTAAGAGTACAGCAAGAAGGAGGAAAGCTTTAGGATCTAATATTCCTTTCTCAAGACTTCCAAACAAATAGAAATATAAAAATGCGTGAAAGTATTCAAAGTCTCAATTTTTAAGGGGACAGGGAAAAACAAGGCTTGAGGGCATAGAATTAGAAGAGACGACATGGGCCATCTAGTCCAACCCCCTGCCATGCAAGAATAGCACAATCAAAGTATTACTTGTTTTAAAGGAGAACTGCTGTTTACAGACGTTTCATGAGAAGCTTTCACTTCCATTTTTATTTTGACCACAGCTTGTTCTGTTGTTCACACTTTCAACTGCAGTGATCTTATATTTGCTTGGTTTTTTTCAGAGGAGGGCATCTGGGAGTGATGCTAAGCTGACAAACACATCGAACAGTAGTAGTTCAGGAAGCTGAATCAGTGTCACAAGGGGTCAGTATTTCTATACATAAAAAGAAACTGTCAGCTTATATGTTCGTAATGGTAAACCAGTAAACAAGTCATAAGCTTGTTGAGCCAAAAGTAAACCAGCAAACTCCCTCTTTCCCTCCCTCGATCTCTCTGTATCGCTATCTATCTCATGCCCCTCTGCCAAAAAATTCCCAGGGCATCTTACAAATAGTTGATATGGAAGTTCCTTACCCTCGGGGAAACATTCTTGCAACTAGGGAGGTGATTAAGAGTACTTCTGGAATAGATTGCTTTTAAGCCTGTTTATAAGTGGTGTCAAAAAGAACAACAATAACATCTTAAACCAAACCCATAATAAATAGATACTCTGCCATTTGCAACCTTGTGGATAATTCAATACTATTCTCTGAGAGGAAATAATAACTATACAGGCAGAAATGAACCAAGAGATTCAAGACCAACACCAAAAATATACTACAAATCTGACTGTGATTACGGAAAGAAACGGGTGCTATTGTCGTTTTCATGCCGTTATGGGGAATATGGAGCCCCCGGTGGCACAGTGGATTAAATCCCTGTGCCGGCAGGACTGGAGACCGACAGGTCGCAGGTTCGAATCCGGGGAAAGGCGGATGAGCTCCCTCTACTAGCTCCAGCTCCCCATGCGGGGACATGAGAGAAGCCTCCCACAAGGATGATAAAACATCAAAAATCATCCAGGTGTCCCCTGGGCAGCGTCCTTGCAGACGGCCAATTCTCTCACAACAGGAGCGGTTGCTCCTGACACACCAACAAAAAAAAAGGGGGAATATCTGGTTTAAGGCAAGATGCAGCCCACGTGAATCTTCCAACAGTTTCTTCTACTGTCTCTGAGCAGTAGTTAGAGATAACTGGCAGAAAAGAGCCTTTCAGAAAGCCCAGGGAGCTGTGTTCTTTAACTGTGGACCCCATTGTGCCCCAGAGCCCCCGATGGTACAATGGGTTAAACCCTTGTGCCAGTAGGACTGCTGACCGAAAGACTTGTGGCTTGAATCCGGGAAGCAGTGTGAGCTCCCATCTGTCAGCTCCAGCTTCTTATACATGAGAGAAGCCTCCCACAGGAAGGTAAAACATCTGGGCGTCCCCTGGGGAACATCCTTGCAGACGGTCCAAAGCAGAAGCGACTTGCAGTTTCTCCAGTCGCTCCTGACACAGGAAAAAAAACCCTTGTCGTCTGCAATACGGTATTTAATGGAACTGTGCTGAGAGCCTAGGAAGCTATTGCACGGAACTGAACTGGGAAACTGGTGCATGGAACTGAGTTGCGCTTTGCAGCCACAGAAGCTATTCCACTGGAACTTATTCCAAAGAAAGAAGGATATACTTCAGTTGTACTATGCTGACCAGAAAGCTATTACACTGATAGTCCTGAATAGGCAGGCAAGTCAGCTGTGCTTTGTAAGCATGATTAAATTCTTAACTAACCTCAGCCATTTGCTCTGGTCTACCTCAAAACTCCTCTCAAATTGGAATTCAGCTCCAATGGTTCCCTACCCACACTGCAGCCTATACTGGCTTTGTGTACCCATTAATTCTTGAGAATGCCATGAATTTTTTACTGGTTTCTTAGTATTCAGAGTTACTCAACCACTCAAGATGCCTGCTGTCTGAATCTGCAACAGCTGTCTATTACATTTTACTTTGCTGCAACATATAATATTTGGCATTAATCAGGAGTACCATTTACTGGTACTTGTCTGTTCACTGAATTACATACTGTGTAGATGGTTAAGTTTAGTCACAAAGTGGCACCTAGCAGTTTTATCTGAATGGAATTGTGATAGTTTCTGTTTTATTCTTGTAGAAAGACAATAAAATTGTCTAGTTTTCTGATGCGTCTTTTAAGCCTTCTTCACATTGTTTTCTGATATGTCCCTTAGACCTTCTCTCTTTTGTTTTGGGGGATTAGGACTGTAAAAAAACTTTTATAAATTTAGATAATAGTATTAAGAACAATGATGCCAAATATCAGAATAAGTTAAAAAAATTAAAATCGTGTCAGAAGCGACTTGAGAAACTGCAAGTTGCTTCTGGTGTGAGAGAATTGGCTGTCTACAGAAATGTTGCCCAGGGGATGCCCGGACGTGTTACCATCCTGTGGTACGCTTCTCTAATGTCCCCGCATGAGTTAAAGTATGACTTTGGCAGTCTGCACATAGAGCCAACATTATCACACAAATTCAAGTTTTATAAAAGATTAACATCCATATCAAACACATAACTATCACTGGAATGCAGCAAATACCAAGACACAGTTGTTTGATTTTAGCATGTACTTGGCAAAGAAGAAATAAATCTATCTTGACAATATTCCTTTTTAAGGCTATTGTAAACCCCTCCCCCCAAAATATCCTAACAATGCTGAACTTTACCTGCCTTGGCTGATTGACCTTTGCTCCTGAAGACAGTAATAACCGAATTAAGTCCAGATATCCTCCTTGAGCAGCCAAAAAAAGGGCTGTAGCTCCATCCTTAATATAAAAAGACATAGTCAGCTTTTCAACTAACAATATTCATAAGCGCCATTGAAGCTTATTTTATGCTAGTCTTCAAATATAGAAAGATTGCTTCTTATGCTTAAATGTGCTCCCATAAACTTCTGCCACTTAACTCTTTTTTGCAGAATTGATAAAAGCAAAATGCAAGGCTGCTCTTTAATTAGGCTGCTTCCGGTCTGAGATGCAATCAATTTAAAGATTAAGCTATAAATCTTGTGACTTTCTGAGTAAGTATCCTTGCAAGTGTGTGCATTTGATGTCTGCCTCTTATGGAAATCTGCCAGCCAAAAACTAGAAGCCTTTTATGAGCTTAAGAGAAGCTGATTATTCTCCTTTTTTTTTTTGGTTAACTTCCTTTTATAGTTATCAATCATAATTTAAGGAAAGACCTAATTTTTTTATAATTTTCATCAGCTTCTTTATTCAGCAATCCAAACAAGCATCTTTTAGAGCAATATTTCCCCCCTGAAACAATAACGGTGCATGTGTGCTTTACTCTCTCACAGAAAGTGGACTTAAATAGGCTTTAGCAGGATTGTGTCCAATTAATTTTTAAAGCGACAGCAGATGCATATGTAAGAGTATTTGTTCTTCATTATTAAAAACAGCAGTTATTCATATCCCTTAAACTAGTGGTACCCAACCTTAGGGCCTCCAGGTGTTTTGGACTTCAACTCCTGCAGTTTCCAATAGCTGGTAAGCTGGCTGGGATTTCTGGGAGTTGAAGGCCAAAACATCTGGGAACCCACAGGTTGAGAACCGCTACCCTAAAAGAAATGGTTATTTGCCTGCCTCTTGATTTCTTTTTTAACTGAAAACATCATAAAACTAAACATCAAGATCAACAACTTGTGGATAAATAAAGTAAATGGTTTATACACCCATGTTACAAATATACACTCTCTAAAAATAAAACAGAAATAAAATACTTCTCTGTTCTGGCAGGCTGATCCTGACGTTTTTACAGTATGAATTTTCACCTGTGTTTTAAATGCATTGTTCCTACATGTTCTTTTAAACTGACGTTTCAACTGGTTTACGTGTTATGTGTTTTTAATGGATGCTTCCTGGTGTATTTTAATATGCTGCCATTTCCCATCTCGGTCCATGGGGAGAAGCAGGTAAGAATTAACAACAACAACATTTTGTGTTATTTCGGGAAAGTCTTTAATTAATACACATAAATGTTCACATCAAGGAAGGTGAAGTTCTTCCTGGAACAATAGCAGCAACATTGTGCCGAGAAAAGGTACAGAGCTACCAACATTTCCTATCAAAAACTAACTCTAAACCACTCCACATTTTCTACCTTTCAAAGAAAATAGAATGTCGATATCATGAATATCAGCTTTACATTAACTTACGTAAAGCTGATCGTGGATGTTGGCCCCGTGCTTTAGTAATGTTTCCACTACTCTCATGTGTCCATACTGGCAAGCAGCTAACAAAGCGGTGCCTCCATCCTGGAAGGAGGAAGGAAAAAACAAATTAAAAAGGGGGTAAAAAGAGGAGAGTTCAAAGGATAAAAAAGCAAAGGCTTCAGAGAACAGCAAGTGCTGAACATTTCTTAGCCCTTTGCTTGTGAGGAATGGGAACAAATCCCCCTTTATAGCCATTGCCTCCACCCCTTAAAAAAAGACATACATACAAGCTCATACCACACATATTCTTTGTTACTTCAAATAAGATTTAAATAAAAATGCCAGAACTTTTTCTGTTTGTTTTTGTATTTCAGCATGCTTTATTTAGTCTGGGCTTCTATGACAAACTTTTTTTTATCTACAACTTTCAAAAAAATCACCCAGTCAACATCACTATGCAACATACTCCATAGGGGATTCTGGGAGATGCGAGTTCAGAAATACTATTACATGATGTTTTCCATGCCTTATTTGTAAATTTCTCTGGGATTGTATCCTTCCTTTTCTTGCTTGTAAACAGCTACTACTGCTCATTTCCAGCAATATCCTCCATGCATGGATCATTATCCAGAAGTCCTCTCAAGAGGAAGGACGGGTCTTATTCTTTCTGTCCTTCTTTTGGCTCAGGACGAAGAAACACAAAGTTCTCCAGGTGCTATTAGAGTGCAGCTCTCATGAACACTACAGTATATCTTGTAGTGAGGGATGATGAGTGTTACAACCCAGAAATCAATGAATATTTCGAGTCTCAACCAATTCAACGTAATTTGTGGCAGCCACAAAAATGAAGTTTCTGGAGTATAACAACTACTTTCAAAGTAAGTACCACACAGTTAAACAGGGATAACACTTTCAAACCAGGAACAGATCCCCCCCCCCAAATTTTGTTACATAGTGTTATGTTGGGGGGGGGGAGGCATGCTGCCTGCTTCTTCTAAAATGTATTTTCTTGCATCCAAAAATACATTTCTGAGCACGAAAGCTAGTGTGGAGGTTATTTGCAAGGACCAGACACATTTGGTCCCCCTTTTCTGGGTGAACAGTTATTACTGCATGTAATGGGTACAAATGAAGTAGATTCCAGGACCATTTACATTTATGATAAGTCAACTATATCCTGGTGCCCTAGATTATGAGGGCATCTAAGTACCTCCCTGCAATTCCTAAATGTTACATTTTATATAACTGCTAGGATAACATTCATATTTTGGTAATGGCTTGGCATGGCTTTAGACTTAATCTGGACCTGGCAGAAAATGATAATGAATTCTAAACATCCGTGGTACATTTAGTTCACTTGTCCTCACATAAAATGTTATGTGACACCAGTTCTTCGCACTGCTAATGATGCTCACACTTTTTCTAATTATTTATGCCAGTTCGCGAAGCAAAGATTGCTTTGACACGTATGTTGCTTTTGGAACAATTCTCACTACATCTGCACAGCATTAGAAGCTGAGGAAAGATCTCTGCCGTTGGCAAGCATGTTGGAAAGTTTGAGAAATCAGTAGTAGCAGAAAGGCAGATCAGCAAATCAGAGAAAAAGTATTTGCATAATCACCGTGCCAGAAAGAGTCATGCTGTGATGAAACACACAGGGCCTTTCCAGAAAACAAAGGCAGAAACTGTACCATGGGTGCTGCATTATTTAACTAACTAGTCTGTGTTGCAATGATGACAGCAACTTTCAGCTACCACAAATTTCAGTTTTTAAAACTCATGTACTGTTCAATGTGCTATATATAACGATCCGGATAAATCAGATCTCACTCGCTGGAGACCAAATTATAAAGATCTATTCAGATCACTAATCAATGCTGCCACCAATATATAGAGCGACCACCAATTGTCAAGGGTTACCCAAATTTTAAAAGGCTTATTTACTTTGAAAGTATGCTGCCACCATTAGTTTCTTCAAAAATTGTTTTTGTGATCTTCAAACTTTGAGGCACACTTGAGTCAGGTTTTGATGAACAATAATCAACAAAGTTTATTAATTAGAACAGGAACAAATGCAGTTAAAATTTAGGCTGTTTCAGAAAGTTGTGTCTTAAAAGCGTGACGGTTACAAGAATGGTTCTGTTTTTGATACTTAAGAGATTCTTCTCTCCCTCCACACAAGAATACTGACAGGATAGTTTGCCTGACAGTAATTCTTAAAGCAGCACAGATAGTCCTAACTTGGATCTATCTTTCTACTTCCCAGCTATCTTCCTAATAGCTGTTAACTTATTACTAGCTATTCCCGCTAGTAACTCTGGCCAAACTCAGGCCTTTCTCTCTCTAAAACAAAACAAGAATCCCAACAGGACTGTGTCTCTGCCAGAGATTCTTCAGTAGCCCAGATAAACTTATCCTAGTTCTATCCTGCTACTACCCAGCTAATCTTCTATTAGCTGTAAGTTTGCTTTAGCTACTTTGCTAGCAAACTCTTGGCAAACTTAGGCCTTTTTTGCCTAACTCTAACACCACTAAACACCCTTTCTCTTCAAACCCCAAACTCCAACCAACTTAAAATGCTCCTTTTTTCCTTCTCAGCTTCTAAACTCCGCCCCCTTTTTCTCCACCAATCCCGGCCATTCCCTGCTGGCTTCTTGACTAGGCCTAAGACACGCCCCCTTCTCTGAAAATCTCTAAGATGGCGTCTTCCCTACTCTAAAATGGCCACTGATGTTTCGCCTTGCCCATTACTTATCCTTCTAGGCCTACAGGCTTTTTCCAGGCCCTGTACCCTGGCTTCCAATAAGGTAAGTGTTCTTTACACTATACATCTGAATTAGTGTTGAGCTTCCATATATGTGGCAGCATGCTCCCTTGCTGAGAGAGATACCTTTTTATCTTATATTGAACATAAAAAATACAATATATGATCTGCAATTGTCTACTTTTTTCATTGCTTTTGACACATTTCAAGTGGGTACATGACTGCACACAAAGAAGGGGGAAACTAAAGTCCTTGCACTGCATCAATGGGCACCAGAAGTGATATCATATCACTTCTAAAAAGTAAAGGTTTCCCCTTGACATTAAGTCTAGTAGTGTCTGACTCTTGGGGGACGGGAGTGGTAGTGCTCATCTCCATTTCTAAGACGAAGAGCTGGCATTGTCCGTAGACACTTCAAGGTCATGTGGCCAGCATGACTGCATGGAGTGCCGTTACCTTCCCGCTGGAGCGGTACCTATTGATCTACTCACGTTTGCATGTTTTCTAACTGCTAGATCGGAAAAAGCTGTGGCAGGAGCTCACCCCATTCCCCAGATTTCGGTCAGCAAGTTCAGCAGCTCAGCAGTTTAACAAAATATACACAAATATAGTATCCACCCTTCAATAGCATACAAAGAACAGAGGGATTTGAACATGGAAAATATAAGACTTCTAGGTGTGTGACACGAGCACAAGGGGATGGGCCAATGGGGCTGATAGTCTTGGCCTTTAAGTTGTAGTACAAAACTCATGGAGGGTGAGAGGTTGGGAAGACTCACATTCTACATGTGTCATGTGCATTTTCAGGCTAGGAAAAGGTGATGAAAATCCACAGCAACAGATCTGGCTTTAAGCAACAGTGCAGGTGGAGCTGAATGCCGGTTAGGAAAGGTTTAATTTCTTCAGGCCACTGTCATCTGATAATCCCAAAGCATACAAGTTATTTAATTTTATCCCAGCAGGTGCACAGTAGCAACCTATGTCATGTTAAACATGAAATGACAGCAACTTTTTAAGGTCCAGCTGCCAGGATGCCTGCAGCAGTGAATTCCAAACATTGACAATCTGACACCAAAGCAGAGAATTCTTTTCATGTTTAGCTTTGCTTTTTACTTTCTCATCACTCAAAAGCATACAACTGGATCAGTTTAGGCTATATACTTTCCAAATGGATCAGCTTTGTGACAACTCCAGGAATCACCCAGCCACTTATAGTCTGGCAGTTACAGTCCAAAAAAGAAAAGGTAACATTTTACAAGTTTAGTTCAAAATGAAAGAACAGACTTAAGGAAATAGAGCTTCACTCACACAATGAAAATGAAAATTCAGCAATAAAAGCCAGGGGTGACTTAATGTTCTGCCAGAGAACTGCATGGCAAGAGGCAAAGTTATTCCATGGGCCTCTTGCTTGTTCTCCATGCCAAGTTTCAGAGCAGAACAACTACTCTTTCTTTCTGTCTACTTGCATTTACCACAAAGTTAAGTGTAACCTCTTACTTTGGTTTTAAATTCTGTGGAGGCTCCATACTCAAAGAGTAACTTCACAATATCATTATGGCCTTGTTGTGCAGCAAAGAACAAGGCAGTGGCACCAGTCTAAAAACAAAAGAAGCAAAAGTCAGTTTATTTTGATACATTTCACTTGGATTAAATATAAGCTTTTTTATTACAGGTACATGCTACCTGAAATGTTTTGTGAACTCAAAGTTTCAGTTCTAGAAGTAAATGGTTGACAGTAAAAATATTTTCGTACAGATCAGAGAGTTCTTTCCAACAAAATTCTTGTGCCTTTTTGAGCAACACAGACGAGGCAACTCATCTCACAGAAGCAGGAGGAAATAGCCTCCCAGAGTCAGATCACAGGCTGCCAGCAAATGCCAGCTCTCCTAGAATATTTTACAATTGTCCTGTTTTTTTAAGGGGAGGTATAGAAACTAAGCCTATTTAATTGCTGTCATGCAACTGTAAGGGTGGAGAAAGACAATATAAAGTTTCTGTTCAAAGAAAGAAGGCTTTGAACTGGTGCTTCTAACACAGATTCTTCAAGGATTCAGAGAATGTATAAACATGGAGTCCTGTCTTTAAGGGCAAACTCAGGGTTAATGTATACAATAAATATATCTTATAGCATATAAAATCCTACTGTTTCAATCCAAAGGATTGCAACAGAACTGCACATGGCCCCTAGCTGCAACATAGTACTCACGACAGCAACATATTCTTCAAAATTTCATGTAGAAACCATGTTGGGGGAGTGCCATGCATTTAAAAGAAAACTAATTGCCTTGACTCATTTTGAACCCAATCCAAACTGAGGCCATGAAGGAATTCTAGAAGGAAACGAAAAAGTATCTTAAACTGCATGTTGTACATTTAACATAGTGTGCAGTTTAATCTGGCTAATTACAAAAGTATGCATGTAGCAATCTGGTGTATTAGATATAGATTACAAAAAAAAGTTGACAGATCTATCGTTATGCCATTCTGATATGATGGTTATGCTTTAAAAGAGCTTCTTGAAAAGAGGTGTACTAATCATGATTATTTTATCGCCTCGTGCCTCTTTATCAGATGTATGTAGATAACAGAGTTATTCACATAAAATTAGAGCCTAATTGGATGAAAGCCTAATACTAGCAATTGTTAAAGCAAGTGTAGCCTACTGCTATTCAGGTAAGAAAACTATATTTTCCGCAGTAAAATTTACAGATGTTTCAATCTGTAAATAATAATAATAATAACAACAACACTACTTTATTTATATTCCACCCTTCTCATCCTGAAGGGGACTCAGGGTGGATCACAGCACACATACACAGCAAACATTCAATGCTGTTTTCTGGACGGGACAAAGACAAACAGAATAGGAAGGAGGTATATATATTGTGTTGTGTTGACATCCAGTTGAACATCCAGCTTGTTGGCGCATTTGGAAGTTGCCAGCCACAGAGGGGCGCTGTGCTCCATCCTCTATGACAAAGAGCCATCAGGACTTCGTCTTTCCTTTTGGTCACCGGCATTCTTTGATCTTTTTCTTTTATGGGGTCGTAAAATACCTCCCCCGCATTAGCGGTACCTAATTTCTTTAATCACAGCCATAAGCTGTTTTTGAACTGCTTAGGTAAACAGTGAGCAGGGCTGACAGTCGAGTGCTTACGCCAGGGGTCCTCAAACTTTTTAAACAGAGGGCCAGGTCACAGTCCCTCAAACTGTTGGAGGGCCGGATTATAATTTGAAAAAAGCATGAATGAATTCCTATGCACACTGCACATATCTTATTTGTATTGCAAAAAACACTTTAAAACAATATAATAATTAAAATTAAGAACAATTTCAACAAATATAAACTTATTCGTATTTCAATGGGAAGTGTGGACCTGCTTTTAGCTGTTGAAATAGGATTGTTGCTGTTGTTGTTGTTGTTGTGTGCTTTCAAGTCATTTCAGACAGGTTGACCCTGAGTGAGGGTCGGGTAAATGACCTTGGAGGGCTGTATCCGGCCCTCAGGCCTTAGTTTGAGGACCCCTGGCTTACGTCAACTCGGGGCTTTGAATTTGCAACCTTTTGGTTGGTAGATCTTATTACTGCTGGTGATTTACCAGCTCAGCACAGCTAAAGGGAATGAGGTCTTATTCCAGGTGCTAAAGAAGTATATTTTGTATGAAGAAAAGAAAATTGACTCTCTTTTAAGCTAATCCTGTCTGTTGTTATTGCTTTAAAATAAGTTTTGTTATATTCTAAGGACTACTAACTAGCTTAATTTCTGAATAAATCCAGTTTTATGCGGATCACATATTTGTCACAGAAAATTTACTACTACACTGAATGATCAGGTCTCCTTCTTTCTTCTTCTTCCGAGATGCTGTGACTGTGATAAATGCACAACAAACAGCAATTTATTGGAGTGTCACGTAGTTTCCAGGCTGTTTGGCCATGTTCTATCTTCTGAAGATACCAGCCACAGATGCAGGTGAAATGTCAGGAGAAAATGCTGCTAGAACAAACCACACAACACTCCAATGATTCTGACTGTGAAAGCCTTTGACAATAAACAGCAATTTAGTGTGTGCATCCTCTTCCAACTTGGAAAAGCAATTATTAAAATGCCAGCTTGTTGTGTTTCTGCCTTTCAGATATAAAAGCAAAGAACCTCTAGTTAGAAAAAACACTTTAGCGTCCTTACTAATAAAAATCAACTTTAAAAACAAAAAGGCTGAAAATTGTAATAAACAGATTGGATGGTCCTCCTTTGGGGATATTCTACACTGGCAGAAGATTGAAACTAGATGACACTTGGTGTCCTTTTGAAGTGTACAGTTCTATGATCCTATGAAAATGGTGTACACACTGTAATGCATTAAAATAAGGGATGATTATAATGATAACTTTGTAAGAATAATCCCTTTGATACAAGCACTTAAGATGCTATTACAAGAGTGTAATCAATAGGGGGAAATATTTAACTCCAGATATGAGTGTATCTGTACGTTTATAAATGCATGACCCAATCGTTCCTCCAAGTTCTTCAGAAACCTGCCAAAGTATGTAAAACCCTGCAGCTGAAACTACAATGGTCTCCTTTACAATCCTTTAAACACAGGATCTCATTGTACCTCTCTCTGAAGATTAATATCAGCTCCTTGCAGCACCAATTCTCGCACACATTCTTTGTGGCCATAGAACGATGCTACCATAAGCGCTGTTGAACCAAGCTGGATGTAAATGAAAAAATACAAGTAATTATCTTATGTATAAAAACAAGTCATGCCAAACAATTTCCTTAACTGGCTGCAATTCATATACAGAATTTTATTATTTCTTGCACAACCACAGATCAATGTAATCTGTAATTTAACTATATGATTTCTTTTAATAAGCATGCAGGAGCTCTGTGACTGGAACACTTCAGTTTTTCTTCCTTCAAAAGAAAAGATTTGGGTTGAGGCTTTGGAGAATAAAGGATCACCTTACCCATATCTCTTGTACTGAAGTTTGCTGCAGTTCACTCTTATTTACTTGCCTTCTATGCTGCCATTAGCCATGGGGAAAACGCTGGGACCACAAATTGTGTTTTTAAAATTTCCCCATTTTACAGTTGAAATCAACTTGGAGAAAGAGGCAGCAGGAACTAGTTGAAAAAGCAAAGGCATATAGCTACCTTCCCTTGATAAAATGACTATCCCATTTGCTCTTAAATAATTGTTTTCTTGTTTCTATTATTTGTACATCTACTCAGAATCCTTCATTCTCACTCCCAGGGGTGCTGCTAGGGCCCAAAATCTATTATTCCAAGTCCTTGGATCAATGTCCAAATGTGCCAGTATCTACAGGCATATGCACATTTTATCCAGGTTTGTGTACTATGGGTCTGACCTAAGTTTTAGTTCCCTGCCCTTCCCTTTCATTTTACTATTAGTACATTTATGTCAGTAATGCAAAGACTATCCAATGCGGATGATCTCTAAAAAGTGAAATGAAAAGAGAATAACATACAAAGAGTTTAAGTGATTCTGTTACCAGACAATGTGTACTATATCCCTCTTATGAAAATTCAAGATTTTGAAATTAATGCAATGGCTCCAGGATGCAACCCTTCACCAGAGCAAATACGGAAAATTATTGCAAATAATTTACTCTTATCATGCATGAATGAATCCTTACACTGTCTTTGCAGTCCACATCAACACGCCCACTGTTCAACAACAGCTGTAGGAGGGCCAAGTTTCCTTTCCTTGCAGCCCAGAATGCAGCATTTGCCAACGGTGTCTCCTTCTGTTAGCAAAAACAAATCATAACAAAAAAACTGAAAATCTGTTTTGGGTTATTACACACAAACAAGCCAGGCACCCAATTAATATGTTTTTTTAAAAAATGATGGGCATTCTTTACTTTTCATACCCATTATAATCAGTGTTTTGGGTTTGGTTGACAGAACCATATGTGTCTGTGTGTATTATTTAAAGGAACATTACCCAAACTATACTCAACTTTGCCAATAAAGATAAGTATATTACACTAGAGCAGGCATAGATAAACTTTGGCCCTCCAGATTTTTTGGATGTCAACTCCCACAGCCTACTGGATGTTAGGAATTGTAGGAGTTGAAGTCCAAAACACCTGGAGGGCTTAGGTTTGCCCATGCCTGCACTAGAATGTCTTAGGCAAAAACAGTACAGATCATTTCAGACTCTAGCCAGTCTGGGATATGCTTTTTTGTCCTTGTTTGCCCACCAATCAGGCGACTGCCAGAGATGCCCAAAAGAAGAGTATTCCAAGAAAAACTATATATGTGAGATCCAGCAATTTGCAAGTCACAGGTTTTTATTAAAATCCTGCTATGCTAAAAGATCAAAGGGAGATATACTACACTGAATAAATTACTAAAACAAGGAGAAATTACAAAGGTGGGGAGCGAGCTGCAGGTTTACTTCTGGAAAAATAGCATTTCCAAGATATCATAGATAGAAGCCATGATGGCTGAGGGATTCTGGGAGCTGTAATCCAAATGGTACATTTCCCAAATTCTATCTAAAATTGAGTGGAGTTCTAGGCAGGATGAGAGAAGTACATTAGAAGAATTAATATACTGTATCTCAAGGATCTCCAGGAAATAAAGCCCGACTGCTCACTGGAGGGAAAGATACTAGAGACAAAGTTGAAGTACTTTGGCCACATCATGAGGAGACAGGAAAGCCTAGAGAAGACAATTATGCTGGGGAAAGAGGAAGGCAAAAGGAAGAGGGGCCGACCAAGGGCAAGATGGATGGATGGCATCCTTGAAGTGACTGGACTGACCTTGAGGGAGCTGGGGGTGGTAACGGCCGACAGGGAGCTCTGGCGTGGGCTGGTCCATGAGGTCACAAAGAGTCGGAGACGACTGAACGAATGAACAACAACAACATCTCAAGGATAGATAGCCTTTTTGGCCCTATGTTATGCCATCTCAGAAACCAGGGGCCCTATACAGTCAACTCTTTACATTTGGTAGGTTAAGGATTACAAAACCCGCATGAAAGAAGAAAATCACAAATAACAATTTTATTTACTTGAAATAACACTTCTCTTGGAATTTCTAGGTCTTCCAGTACAGGGCTACAATCAACTTTTTCTGGAAGCTGACTACAGAATTGCCTTGGAGGCTATAGCGATTCCTAGAAAGGTCTTCTCTCTGGAAGTCTCTAGGGCCTCCAGTATTAATGTAGGAAGTTGGCCATATAGAGTCACACTGGAGGACCTAGAGTTTTCTAGAGATAGTATTTTTACTCAAATTTGTGAATAATCAAATCCACAAAAGCCGAAACTGCAAATGTTGATGGACAGCTGGATACATGTAAAAACAAATGAGCATACCCTCTCCTGCTCCCCAGTATATTCCCTACTCCACACATATACATTACAGAAAACATAGGTGGGGAAGCTTGAACTTCTTCAGTGTGTCCATCGATGTCAAAGGATTGGGTGTGCCTATGAAAGTCTTCTACTAGCAATCACCCCTGTCTGTTTCTCCATCCCTGCTGGGGCCAAGAAAACAGCATTCGCAGATCATAAATGATGGTAGACCTCAGTAATCTCCATCAAGAAAACTGCTTTCTGCCTGTATTAGCTAGGGAAAAGCATTCTTGCACACACAGTGCAGTCTGCAAAAGAAGGAACCAAGGGTTGTCTGCACCATATTTCATATACACAGCCACATCTCAACTGGTGGCCCTTCATTATACCAAAAAGAATCTAGGTAAAAGTAAAGGTTTTCTCTTGCCTTTTGGCCCATTCTGTATAATTGATTGTATGCTTAGAGATTCACACCTTCTCTTTAAACTCTAAAGATGTTATCTAGAATTGATTTTATGTAATAAATGTAAACCAAGAAATCATTTTTACTTTTTTGATTTGGATGATGATAGAAAGATCCTTTTTTTGTTTATTTTCTTGCTTAAATACATTATCTTAAGGTGTTTACTAGAATCATAGAATAACAGTGACATCTGTTTATCACAATGTTTCAGCCTGGATGCAATGACATTGCAAAAAAGTAGCAGAGGCAGTCCTGTTTAGTCGCTGTGTTCAGCTTCATAAGGAATAATAATAAATATTCATCAAAATAAAGGTTAGTCATTAAAAATATGGAGAGAGGGCATGAAAGTTGCTTTTGTCAGACCCAGGGCCCTTCCACACAACCCTATATCCCAGAATATCAAGGAAGAAAATCCCACATTATCTGAGTGTGGACTCAGATAACCCAGCTCAAAGCAGATATTGTGGGATGTTCTGCCTTTATATTCTGGAATATAGGGCTGTCTGGAAGGAGTGGAGAATCTGAATCTGATGTGTTTGAATTAACACTTCTTAGGTGGCAGGACACTAGACTCTGTAATAGTTCCATGGTTTAACTCAGGTCCCTTCTACATTGCCATATAAACTAGTTTATCAAAGCAGATAATCCACATTATCCGCTTTGAACTGTATTTTATGAGTCTACACTGCCATATAATCCAGTTCAAAGCAGATAATCTGGATTTTATATGGCAGTGTAAAAGGAGCTTCACTTAAATACCATTCATATACAGGTCCAAAAAAAACCAACAACAAATTTAGAATATTGAATCAGAACATTAATTCCAGTAAGTTGGGAAACATTTAATTAAATTAAGTATTTGATTTGGAACTTTTAAATGATTAAAAACTATCTATGGTTAATTAGAAAACTGTTTCTGGGGGGAAATTATATTATGGATCAGACATCAGTGCAGAAAACAATGCCCACTTATCTTTCATACAGGAAAGAAGCTGTGTGTCTTCTAAAATGGAACTGGCTATGTGCATAAATGTTTAGAATTTTATCCCATCTGTAAGACATCTCATTACATTCATATATGAAACTACAACATTCCAAAATCCAAAAAAGCTGAAATCCAAAACACTGGTCCCAAGCACTTTGGATAAGAGCTGCTCAACTTGTATCAGTAGTCTGTTTATTTGCAAGTACACCATCAAAACAGCAAGAGATCCAAAGACTAAGAGAATAACCACAAATTCTCTCTATTCTCATAAAGAGAGATTCACCTTCCTCTAATTCATAGCTCCCACAATGACTGCCAATTTCTGCTGCTAGCTGTCTTTTTGTGGCCTTTCCCGCAGCCTCTACTGGACATCCCATTCTCAAGGCAGGAGACAATTCAGGGCATGAATGTCAATTAAAGTCCCCTGTCCAAGTATCTCATCATTCATTAAACTTGTCTAGAAAATATCATGATATTATGTAATATGTCTCTTCACAAGACAGCCAGACAAATAAATATGCACAATAATAAAAATGAACACTCAGTTCTGCAACAAGGAACAGGCTATAGAGAAATATGAAATATTAGCAAATAGCTCTGTACTATGAGGTATTCATTTAACACTGTACATATATCTTCTTTTCAGATGTGCTACAATCCTCCACTTTCTAGTATGTACTGAATGAACTACTTGATTGACCTTGGGTGTATCTATATTGTAACAGGAATGCACTTTGGCATCACTTTAACTGCCCTGGCTCAGTGCTATGGAATCACGAGAGCTATCATTTTACAAGGCCTTTATCCTTCTCTTCCTCACCAAACTACACCTCCCAAGATTCCACAGCACTGTGCTTGATTGTGCTTTTCATAGCAGGAAAAACACAATCAAAGCCTTTGTAATAACAACCACAACAACAACAGAAACCCCAGGGGCCATCCAGTACAACTCCCTTCTGCCATACAGGAAAAGCACAATCAAAGCACCCCCAAGAGATGGCCACCCAGGCTTTGTACTAATAATAACAAGCTGCTCTGAGTCCCCTTTGGGGTGAGAGAGGGAATGGTATAAATGTAGTAAATAAATAAACAAACAACAACATTAATAGGAACAACCCCAGGGGGCATCTAGTCCAATCCCCCTTGTGCCACACAGGAAAAGCACAATCAAAGCACCCCTTGAGCGGTGGGAGGGAAATAGGGTTTTGGAAGGGGAAAGGAATCTAAGTAGCAAGGGGGTCTAGGGGAAAAGGCCTTTGGCTGCAAGTGAGGCAAGGGGAGGAGCAGTAAAGAGAAGGGGAAACTTGGAGGAGGCGGAGGAGGTACTGAAGAGCCCCTCAGTATGCAGCCCCAAGGGCTCCACGAAACACACTTTGAGACCTGCTGCAATATTTTTTTTATTTCCCATATTTATACCCCACTCTTCTCATTCCGAGGGGACTTACAGATTGGCCACTTGTGCCACATTACAATATAAAAATAAACAAAATACAACACATTAAAACATCAACAGAATAAACATACAAATACATAAACTGTTAAAACCTGTTAAAAACCATATAGCTAAAACCGTGGTCATCCTTTATATTGCTGCATAAAACAAAGTACGTTAATATATGATAAATATTTCTGTATAGCTAAAATCCTACCACTGATTTTATCCACACAAACGTGATATAAACTGTTTTCCCCCCAATTTTGAAAAATAAAATAGAAACCATCCTCAAGAGTTGGTGGTTGAGCAAAAACAAAACAAAAAAAGGCCTAATAAAATACAAAAAACATATTGTCAGGTCTGAAAGGGACTTCACTCATGGTTCAAATCTGAATAATTTAGATGCGCAGAAAAAATTGGCTTTCTCCAAACTGGCACCCTTTATAGGGGCTGAGACCCCATCTGCACTGACAATTTAATGAAGTTTGAAGCTAACTTCAAACAACAAACTTACAAAAGCACTCTGTGGTTTGTGTCATCACCTTCCAGGCATAAAACTGGGTTCAATATTTCCTATGTAACCATCTGCATAGCCAAAGCACTTTCTTAAATGCCAGTTTGATACTACATTAAGCAGTCAGTGTAGATTACCAACAAGAATCCCCAACCTTATCAGCTAACATGATTATCAGCTCAATAACCAGGAGAGAGCTAAACAAACCAGCAGACTGACTGCTGGGCAGGGTTAGAAATCTTACTGCCCTCAAGATGTTGTTTATTTGCAATCCCGAGACAACCTGCTCAGTTTAAGTCAATGATGACAAATTACAGGAGTTGTTCAATCACGACTGCAATCCCTGAAACTGAGGATTCACTTTGAATCTTTTTACATGTCAAAAGAATGTATGGTGGGCCGCATACCACTCTCACAGAAAATGGGTCCTATGTACACACACACGGTTTCTGCATATAAGCAGAGGAATGCTGTGCCCCCATACACACTGACCATTTAACACATTTCAAAGCTAGTTTCAAACTGCGGCCGGGCAGGCAACAAACCACAAAAATGCACGAAAGAAAACTCTCTATGCGGATCAGTGGCTTGTATGGAGCCCCCGGTGGCGCTGTGGGTTAAACCCCTGTGCCAGCAGAACTGAAGACCAACAGGTCACAGGTTCGAATCTGGGGAGAGCGTGGATGAGCTCCCTTTGTCAGCTCCAGCTCCTCATGCGGGTACACGAGAGAAGCCTCCCACAAGGATGATAAAACATCAAAACATCCGGGCGTCCCCTGGGCAACGTCCTTGCAGATGGCCAATTCTCTCACACCAGAAGCAACTTGCAGTTTCTCAAGTTAGTCCTGACACAACCAAAAAAAGAGTGGCTTGTATGATCACAATTTACAATTTCACAGTAAAATCACTTGTTTTAATACCAGTTTGAAACTGCATTAAATGGTCAGTGTATATGGGAACCTTGTTGTCAGAACTGAGTGGTATATCCACACTTCACAATGCCCTCATATGTGAGAAGTTCAAGCAGAAGACAGCATGTTTTATTCAAACAGCAAGGATGGGGAACCCCATGAAAAGCAAACCATGAGTAACCATGTTAAATGACAATGACTATGTGAATGAGATGGAACAAGTTTTAAATGTTTTAATATGTTTATCATATATTGTTGTTTATCTTTGTGTTTTTGATTTTTATGTGTTTTGAGTATTGTATTATGTCTGAATGGCATCGAATTGTTGCCTTGTGTTAGCCGCTCTGGGCCCTTCAATGAGGGAGAGAGGATGGAATATAAAACAAAGTTAATAAAAACCACCATGACATTGAGATAAAAAATCTTTTAGTTGTGACACCAACATTTTGGAATATCCTTCAAAAGGACAGCAAACTGCTCCCTCACTTCTTCATTTTGGCAAGCTGCCACTGCCAATTCATTTCAGCAACTTTTAGCTGTGCATAAATTAGAATTAATACTTCAGTCCATCCTGCAGAAATTCAGCAGTTAAACTGCTGAATTTTGGTATGTCTTATTTTTGTTCCTGCAAGTTATTTTGGGACGGGGTATCCCTGGGTTACCTCTGCAGTCATTGCACATTCCTCTTTCAAGTCAACTATGGGCCCTTCCACACAGCCACATAACCCAGAATATCAAGGCAGATTTTTTTTTTTGTCGTGTCAGGAGCGTGTCAGGAGCTGCAAGTTGCTCTCTGGTGTGAGAGAATTGGCCGTCTGCAAGGACGTTGCCCAGGGGATGCCCGGATGATTTGATTTTTTATCATCCTTGTGGGAGGCTTCTCTCATGTCCCCGCATGAGGAGCTGGAGCTGATAGAGGGAGCTCAACCGCCTCTCCCCGGATTTGAACCTGCGACCTGTCGGTCTTCAGTCCTGCCGGAACTGGGATTTAACCCACTGCGCCACCGGGGGCTCCTATCAAGGCAGGTAATTCACAATATTTGCTTTGAACTGTTTTTTTTTCCATGTCAGGAGCAACTTGAGAAACTGCAAGTTGCTTCTGTTGTGAGAGAATTGGCTGTCTGTAAAGACATTGTCCAGGGGACGCCCTGATGTTTTACCATCCTGTGGGAGGCTTCTCTCATGTTCCTGAATGAGTAGCTGGAGCTGGCAGACAGGAGCTCACTCCACTCCCCGGATTCGAACCACTGACCTTTTGGTCTGCAGTCCTGCCAGCACAAGGTTTTAACCCGTTGTGCCACTGGCGTCTTAGAGAGTTATCTGAGTCCACACTACCATATAATGCAGTTCAATGTGGATTTTAGACAGCTGTGTGGAAGGGACCTAGGGGTGCATCTACACTGCAGAGCAAATGCAGTTTGACAGCACTTTAACTGGCATGTCTCAACGCTATGGAAACCTGGGAGTGGTAGTTTAGCTATTTGAAGCAATACTCTTTTGGCAGAGAAAGCTAAGGACCTTATAAAACTACAAACCCTTAGATTCCATAGCCCTGCGCCATGGCAGTTAATGCGGTGTCAAACGGCATTTATTATGTAGTGTAGATGCACTTTGAAACACACACTTTCTTAGATATTAAGGGTGCATCTATAGCAGGCCTGGGCCAACTTGGGCCCTCCTTCCAGGTGTTTTGGACTTCAACTCCCACAATTCCTAACAGCCGGTAGGCTGTTAGGAATTGTGGGAGTTGAAGTCCAAAACACCTGGAAGGAGGGCCCAAGTTGGCCCAGGCCTGCTGTAGACTATGCAGAGAAAGGTCTGCAAGGCTTCTCCTCCCAAGCGAGGCCTGGCTACTGCTCAGGCGCCTGACTGCACTGCAACCCGCAGAGCAGGAAGAGGAAGCGGGAACGCGGCGACCAGGCTTACCTTGAAAGACATCTTGAGCTCGGCCCAGCCCTCGCTGCTCATGCCGGCAGCCCCACGCCCGGCAATGGCCTCCTCGGCCTTCTCCTTCCTCCTCCGCCTTCTCTCTGAGGAACGGCAGCCAGCCTCGCGCCAGGCGGCCCTCCCGCCACACGAGGCCCGCCTGCGCGTGGCTTCCCCGTCGTCATGGCGACCGGAGGGAGTCACGTGACCCCCTCTGCTGGCCTCCTCTTCATTGGCGCGCCAACATGGGTGGGCCTTTGGGTGGCTATATTACCAAGCATCGCTTGGGGTTCTTTAAAGGGCCGGCCTAAGAGCTTTTTTGTGTGTGTTTTGTTTACTGTCAATCTAATAGGCCCCTTCTACACTACCATATAATTGAGAGGCCTTCCACACAGCCCTATATCCCAGAATATTAAGGCAGAAAATCCCACAATATCCTTCCACACAGTCCTAAATCCCAGAATATCAAGGCAGAAAATCCCACAATATCTGCTTTGAAGTGGGTTATCTGAGGGCCCTTCCACACAGCCCTATATCCCAGAATATCAAGGCAGAACATCCCACAATATCTGCTTTGAACTGGGTTATCTGAGGGCCCTTCCAAACAGTCCTTAATCCCAGAATATCAAGGCAGAAAATCCCACAATGTCTGCATTGAACTGGGTTATCAGAGGGTCCTTCCACACAGTCCTAAATCCCAGACTTATCAAGGCAGAAAATCCCATAATATCTGCTTTGAACTGGGGTATTTGAGGGCCCTTCCACACAGTCCTATATCCCAGAATATCAAGGGAGAATATCCCACAATATCTGCTTTGAACTGGGTTGTCTGAGGGTCCTTCCACACAGTCCTAAATCCCAGAATATCAAAGTAGAAAATCCCACAATATATGCCGTGAATTGGGTTATCTGAGACAACACTCAGAATATGTGGGATTTTTCTGCCTTGATATTATGGGATATAGGACTGTGTGGAAGGGCCCTCAGGTAACCCAGTTCAAACCAGATATTGTGGGACTTTCTGCCTTGATATTCTGGGTTATAGGGCTGCGTTGAAGAGCCCCCAGTTCAAAACTGATAATCTGGGTTTTACATGGCAGCTGTATAGACTCCTCATTGAACTGAATTATATGACAGTATGGACTTGGATAATCCAGTTCAAAGCAGATATTGTGGATTATCTGCCTTGATATTCTGAGTTATATGGCTGTGTCGAAGGGCCTGGAGAAGCAATGGAAATTGACAGATTATTTAGGATAATGATGGGAGCTCTCTAGACAACGTTCGAAAAAGTGGGAGAAACGAGAAATATTTTAAGGAATGTTTCCACACAGCCATATAATCCAGAATATCAAGGCAGATAACATGCACAAACTCACTGGTTCTCAACCTTCCTAATGCCGCGACCTCTTAGTACAATTCCTCATGTTGTGTTGACCCCCAAGCATAACATTATTTTTGTTGTTACTTCATAACAGTAATTTTGCTACTGTTATGAATTGTAATGTAAATTTCTGATATGCAGGATGTATTTTTATTCACTGGACCAAATTTGGCACAAATATCCAATAAGGCTGAATTTGAATACTGGTGGGGTTGGGGGGGATTGATTTTGTCATTTGGGAGTTGTAGTTGCTGGAATTTATAGTTCACCTACAATCAAAGAGCATTCTGAACACTAACAATAGAATTGGGCCAAACTGCACATAGAACCCTTATGACCAACAGAAAATACAGTTGTTTTATGATTGTCTTTGGCAAGCCTCGCAACCCCCCCCGGGGTCTTGATCCTCAGGTTGAGAAAGTTGCAGTAACTGCTTTTTAACTGGATTATCTGAGTCTACACTGCCATATACTTCAGTTCAAAGCAGATAATCTGGATGTTATTTAGCTATGTGGAAGGGGCCTTAGTCTTATAACTCTATGAACAAAAATAGACATTAAGTAATTAAGTTTTCTTTTGCCAAATGGAGTGTAAGAGGATTAAGAAAGAACCTCTACTGTCTGTCTCAAGCCCCCTCTACACTGCCATATAAAATCCAGATTATCTGCTTTGCATTGGATTATATGGCAATATAGACTCATATAGTCCAGTTCAAAGCAGATAATGTGGATTATCTGCTTTGATAATCAGGTTTATATGACAATGTAGAAGCCCACAACCCACCCACCCCAAAAGGGAAGGGAGGAAGTTTTATTGTTTCTTTGGATTGTGTTGTGTCTGTTTGGTTGGGGTGGGATCTTTTCTTTGTCATTTTTGTTGATGTATATTCTGTTGATGTATATTTCTGTTGAAACTAGAGAGACAGACAGACAGATGATAGAAAAAGCCCTTCTCACAGCAGCCTGGACATTTTCAACTGCCCCAAAATGATAGCCTTAGTATAATAAATAAAATAAAATAACAGTGCGATGCCATACTTTTTCATTAACCTCTTCTCTTTCTTCTGCTGTTATGATATGTTTACCTTTCTCTAGCAAGACAACACAGTATCAGATGCACTCTGAGAAATGTATGTGTGATTTTAATTATTCACAAGAATATTAAATACTTTTCTGTCTGGATTTAGCTATAGATGCAGTTTTAAATCAAGATGCTCCAGGTGTAATTCCCAGCAGAATGTTGCAGACAGCAGCAACTCAGTGTTTCCGGTTACTGTTACCTCAACAACAGGTAGCTAGTCTTAATGACAGTTGTGAATTTAACGATGGCCCTGCTGTGTATCTTAAAAGGTTATTCTTCATTGATTCGCAGCACTATCAATAGAATTGTTTCCTCTAGGGGCTAAATTAAGTGGTCCTCTTAGCTTCATGACTTGTCTTGCCAGTATTGCATACTTGGCAGAAAATGTACATGAGCCCAAATCGGTAATGGAGCAATGTGCTCTACAGCGCATTTCTTTTCCATCTAGTCTGCCACTGCATAAGAGTCAGTATGGTGTATTGATTTGAGTGTTGGATTATGACTCAGGAGACCAGGTTTGAATCCTGCTCAGCCATGAAAGCCCATGGGTGGCTTTGGACAAGTCACATTCTCTCAGGCCCCATCAACCCTGTCATATAATGCAGTTTCAGAATGCAGTTGAACTGCATTGAACCACATTATATGGCAGCGTAGACTCATATAATCCAATTCAATGCAGTTAAACTGCATTCTGAAACTGCATTATATGGCAGTGCAGATGGGACCTCAGACTCAAAGGAAGGTAAAGGTAAATATTTTCAAGAATGCCCTGTGACAGGATTGCATAAATCAGAAAGGACTCAACGACATACAATAGCAGCAGCAGCAACAATAACAGTGAAGATATGTCCTAGTTGTTGCTTGTATCCAATTAATTATATTCCAATCTTGCTTAAAATTAGTTCTTGAACAAATTTTTATTCTATATGGCCATCACATATTTTGTAGCACTGCATTCTTTAGGACAATTGTATAGTTCAGGAAGTGACTTCAGGTTTTCTGCTCACATATGGAAACTCTGTGGAGTTTGTTTGTTTGGTTTTTTTAGGCAAGGGGTACTCTAAAGTTGTTTGCCATTGCCTTCCTCTGAAATATAGACCATTCCACCTGGTATTCCTTGGCACTCTCCCTTCCAAGTATTTACCAGGTCTGACCCTGCTTAGTTTCCAAAATCAAATAAGATCTGGTGCCATCAGGGTATTTATACAACACATAGGTGTACACTACATGAAGATACTTAAATCCAGCGCAATATAAATATGAATTTTCTCCTTATATTGTTCAAAATAAGCGGAGCTTCTTTCTTCTTCTGAAAATTCTTAATGTTTTAGCCTGTTCTTATACAGCATCAGCTTTGTAGGACCCTTCCACACAGCCATATAACCCAGAATAGCAAGGCAGAAAATCCCACAATTTCTGCTTTGGACTGGGTTATCTGAGTCCAAATTGCCATATAACCCAGGCCCTTTCCACACACCTGAATAAAAGCCCACATTATCTGTTTTGAATTGGAATATATGGCAGTGTGGACCCAGATAGCCCAATTCAAACCAGATATTGTGGGATTTTCTGCCGTGTATTCTGAGTTATATAAATGTGTGGAAGGGCTCCCAATTCAAAGGAGATAATGTGGAATTTTATACAATTTGTAGAAGGGGCTGTAAACTCAATAGTGTGTTTGGATTTCTTTGTAATTTTTCAGTGTTACATAGTTATTTAAATATGAAATATTGACATCTGTCCTGGGCTATGGGTGATTTATGCTGGAACATTCATTTGTTGTGTTGAGTCTATCTCTTAGCTCTTACTGCTTTTCTCTCCTCGTTTGGCAGGAACATAATGAGTGAATGTGTTTGACTAATGAGTTAGCCATGATCACGATCTGTGATGACTCCATTGTATTTTCCAGCTATTAAGGATATGAATCTCAAACATATGGAAGATTATGCATGCAAAACAATTTAATATACCTTCCTAATTAGCTATTGGTAACCTTGAAACATTTAATAATTAGCTCATTCTTGCTTCAGTTTTAAGCCTAGTGATGCATTTCTTGACACCAGAAGTCACGCAAGTCAAATCATGTCTCCATTTGTATAGTCTGTACAAAAGCCAGCTTTCATATCAGTCAGTTAAAAATGAAACCAATGGAAGGGTGAGATTGTTGTCAACAAATAATAATATATAGACATTATTGCTGGCACATGGCCATATAATCAACAGACGAGAATATTTGAGATGGGGGGGCTCTCTTTCTAAGGTAGCAGCAGTTTAGCTCTCAGCAAGAGAAAGTGGATATGTGTAGCTTAGGACCCTTCCACACAGCCTTATAGCCCAGAATATCAAGGCAAATAATTCAAAGTATCTGGTTTGAACTGGATTATCTGAGTCCACACTGCCATATAATTAGGATTTTATACAGCTGTGTGGAAGGGGTCTTAGATCCAGACTATCTGAAAGACCATTTCTCCCTATATAAGCCTGATGAAGTCTTGAGATCTTTATCAAAGGGCTTTCTCACAATCCCAGTATTGTCTCAGGCTGGTCTGGTGAGGACACATGAAAGAACCTTCTTGGTGTCTGCTCCTGAGCTACAGAATTTCTTTTTATGGTAGCTCCTTCTTTGTTTTCCTTTTGCCGGCAGGTAAAAATATTTGTTTTTAAACTGACATTTGCAGATAAAC